TATATATATATATATATATATATATATGCTTGAGTAGGGGTATTTTTGTCATATTTTAGAAAAAAATGTAATGCGAGGGGGGTTTTTGTATTTATGTGTAGTACAAGGGGGTGTATGATACAAAGTTGATAGTACATGGGTGTTTTTGTATTTAACCCTTTAATTAATTTACGATATTATTACTAATAATAAGAGTTAAATGCAAAATCACCCCCTTGGTAAAATTAAGTGACTAAAACCCCATGTTGATTAGTAGTTAAAGTCATACACTCCCTTCTATTTCGTTCGTGTCATTCATGCACTCCCAATGCGACTGCTTGTGCGATTTTTTGTGTGAAAAGACACAAGTGCCCCTCTAAATCTCTCTTAGTTTTCTTGTTCCATTTTAAAACAAAAAAAAAAAAAAATTACTTAATATAAATAAATGAATTAAAAAACAACAAAACAAAAAAAAAATTGGAATTTCTTCTCCGTCAAACTCACGCCGACCCCAAATTCATCTTCTTCGCCCATCTTCTTCTCCGACGTTGCCCAGCGACCGCCGCCGCCGCCGCGAGTTCAGATCTCCTCCAAAGTCGCCGCCAATTCGAGGTCCGGCGAGCTCCACTTCGCCGAATTCTCCGACGAATAGCAAAGCCCATCGCAAAATCCTCTCAAACGCAGCTGCCGCTGCAGCCGCCGCTGAGTGAGAGTTGAGTGGGTGAGGCGTGTCTATGTGAGGTATGAGCTGAGAAATTAAAATCGAAGTGTGCGTTGCTGTAATTTTTTTTCAATTGGAGAAGAGGACTAAATTGAAAGTGTTAGGGACTGAATTGAAAATTTTGAAAATTTCATTTGAGTCATAAAATTCTAGAGATTGAACATATTTATCTGGAGGGCCTTTTTATCTTTTCGCGAGCGGTCAACGAACAAAAATAAAAAAGGATCGAGTGTGCTTCATTGAACACTTGTTAGGGGGGTTTTGGTGACTTATTTTTTCCCGGGGTTTTTTTGGCCTTTAGGAATTACACATGGGAGAATAATAGTAATAATATTTTCACTAAAATTAGAACAAAGTATTCCCGTGAAGTAGGAAAGCCCTAGGTCCCATTCCCCAGCTCCTCTCCATCGCCGCCGTCGGCGAATCATTGTAGCACCGCCGTATGCACCCTTATCTTACTCGCTTTTAGAATCTATGGTTCTGGTTTCCTCCTCCGCTATTGAGATTAATTCATCCGTGAATTTCCACTGAAAGTATTTCATATCTGAGCTGACTGAAATGGCAGTTCTCTGAGCTGTTTTGAGAGCTCGGTGTAAACTCAGGTAATTTTCTTCTCTCGTATCTTCCCGTTGTATACTTGTGTTTTTGCTTTGTGACTGTGGTACTTTTTCCTACAATTTTTTATTCTGTTTGTTGATCTAGCTTTCGCCATTTTCATCTGAATCGGAGCTTATTGTTTATGTTATTTGTATTTTTGTGTGTGTGTTGTTTGCTTGAGGACCAAATAGGAGGATGTGGCAGCTATATTTTGAACCTATGGTGAAACTGTGGATTGAATTTATTTTTTAGGATTATTCTCTACATTTTGCAGGTTAATTTGTTTTCATTTTCATTTGATGTGAATAAAATTTGGTAAAATATTTCAATAATTGTGGGAACATTACGGATGGCATTGCTAAGTGCGGGGCTTTTGGGTTTTTGAGTAATGCTATGTTCTGTATATTTCAATTTCTATGAAAAAAATATATTTTGGTGTGTATTATCAAGCTGATATTTCAGCAGTCGAACATTGTGAATTTGTGATTTAAGGCTAAAACTTAATATACTCGTAGTTTAAATTAAGAGCCTAGAGTGGCCAGGGAAGCCAGAACACTTAATCTGTATGTCGTATGAATGATAAGGTGAGATGTAATCTGCATCCGTAATGCCTTTCAAATAATAAGGTGAGATTTAATCTGCATCCCCGACGCTTCTCAAATAATGAGCTGACTCAGCGTGGACCTATATAAATTCATTCACTCAGAATTTAGTTGCGTATAAGTATACATGATAATCTATTTATATGCGTCGATGCAGATTTGATGAAGTCATTTCTTTATACTTGTTATTTGAGAGACATTGCTTAACTTATTAGATAATACATATCGAAAATTCCTTAGTCATTTGAAACGTAGACCATTTGCTTTTTTGAGATATTTTCTCTGTAATATTTGTATGCACCGAGGAGGTCGAGAAATCCTCAGGGGGAGGGCAACAACTGGATGCTTATTGTAGTAATGCTATGTTATGAATTTATGGTGTTTATGCAAATATTATCTCAATTATCAAATTCTAACTTGAAACTATGGCTAAATTGAAGAAGCATTTTAACCACTTGCCCGTTCAAAGTCTTAAGTTCCACACGTAAAATGTGATTGTGATGCAGTAGTTAGCAAGATTTTGCTCCAGCTCACGTTCTCACTAAGTAAAGAAAGTAACAAATTTGTTAATAGAGAATTAAGAGGAAACTAATTAGAGGAATAGTACTGCTTACTCACAACTTTTAGGAGCACGCAATTGATAGTAGACATGGTTAAAATTAGAGAACGTTTGGAATAATAAACTAGACCTTGCCGAGTTTTACCTTTGATCTAAAATGTAGACTACGACACAACCTTGAACATGCTGCATCAGATTGTTGGCAGCTCACCACGACGACCACCCTTCGACATTTATCTCTTTCTTATCCCTGTGTGTATATCGAGACACCCATCTAAATAAATTCACAAATAATTATAAATTGCATTGTTTCATATGAGTTGCATAATTAGGGATACAAATTAATTTTCCTTCCATGCACTAACTTTTAACATCTCTACCCATTTCCATCGTCTTTCTTTATTTATTGTTTTGTATTTTAATTTTTCTAATATCGTGTCTATGTTACACAGGGTGCTCTGAATTTATCGGCTATATTCAATTAGATGTGATCTTCAATAAAAGATTGTCCAAAATTTCCAGTATTCGCTTCTAGACTACTCTCTCTCTCTCTGTATACTTGGATCCCATTCACAGCTATTGTGGTAAATTTCCTTGGAAAATCTAGCAAGAAAAAATGGACGGGAATCTTGAAATCTCACTTGACAAACTTCCCATTAAAAGGCTAGAATCCATAGAGGAATTTGGCTCTGAACGCTTCCCCTCGTAAGTCTCGCTCACTTACTTTTCTCATTCTATACAGAAAATGTAAAATTATTGTACAGGTGGCTGATGTGATGCTGGTGCTTATTTCTGTGGCAGTGATGTGGATTATGATGAGAAGAGAGTGAACTTGATAAGGAGAATAGACTTTGCATGGGCGGTTGAGAGAGAGGATCCTAGTAAGAAGCGGAAGACAGATGGTGCAACTGCTAAGGAGAGTACATCAACCAATCAGCAGCAATGGCAATGGAAGAGTTTAGTAGAGAACCTGCAATTGGCTCACCAAGAGCTCTCTGTCATTATCGATCTCATAAACACGGTAAAATACTCGAGTTCTTCACTTTTTATAGCACTATCTGTTTATCTTATTGTTATTGTGTATTTAGAAGGATCTTGTTGACTTGACTTGTGTTTATGTGAGTCTGAGTTGATGTATACATAATGCGTCAATCTATAGTTGCAGTTCAAGAGTCGGGTTTTGCTTTGTGTGTGATTCATGTTAATAAATTCAATGATTCATGAAAATGCTCAATTGAAGCTTCTAATATGGGGGTTTAAAAATGTTATGTTATATAGCAGTACTATAGAGTGAGCATCTCCATATATGCACATAATGCACACATTGAAGTTTCCTCTAAGAATTTGAGAAAGCAGATCAAGAAGACTATCAATTGCAAGAGAAATCATGATTGTGCTTAGTCTCATGGTAATATCTCTGTAGTTGCACCATATTCATGGTAGTGTGTGTGTGTTATTGCTAAGGTAAAACAATGGGTTATTATGAACAGAGGGTTTGAAAGAAAATACAAAAAATAATTCACTTTGCATTGCTTTAATGTTCAACATACAGGTAGAGACAAATGATGCTGTGACAGTTGCAGGCATGACGAGACCAAAGCCATTACCGAATGAGCATTTATCTGACCTTGCTGTGTCTACAGCAACCAAGCTACAGTGTTTCCGGGTATGCTTTTAATCTTTCTAGCTCGGAGGTCATGTTGATTTTGGTCTTCATCATTACCAATAAATATTTTCAGGATAATCATGAATTCTATATTGTTGAACTATGTTCTGTGATTATTCGGTTGCTGAGACCGATAGTGTAAATTTCCTCTTGATTCCTATTTTTTTCAGATTTAAATGCCGCAGTATGGCTAAGATCTTGTGTTAATTTGCAGAGTCTTGGAAAATATTTCAAGCAATCTGCAAAAGCATTGGAAGAGCAAATAGCAAGAGAAGCTAGATTTTATGGTGCGCTTATTAGGTAAGTTTTTCAACTCCCGAGGAACTCAGAGGTTTTGTTTGTAACAGTAGGTAAATTGCTTAGCCACTCTCCGATGTTAATCATATTACTTCATTTTCTTATGGAATATAGATTGCAGCAAAATTGGAAAATTAAACAACATCGATTGGTGGCAGCTGCATCTGGCAATGAAGGCTTCTATATCGATTTATTCGACAATTCATTATACAATTCAGCTGCTGTATTTCGCCCATCAATGTCTACAATTCCTGTTGAGCACGATGCAGCTGGAATGCTCACAGTGAATTTGCCTCGAAAGTCTTGCCACACTCTTCAATTTGAGTTTCTTGGATTTAATTCTGCTTATAATTTGAGAAAATTTGGTGAGACTAAGACACCAGACATGACGAAGGATTCTTTTAAGGGACCCGCAAAGGATCATGCTAACGACGACGAACGTGTGAAGGAAATGCATTTAACTCTCCGTGAAGTTCATCGAGCTATACATGATGAACAGGTACAAATTGCTCTTAGTTCTTCTCTCCATTGGCCTCGTTTGGTTTCTAAGATAAGATTAACCAAGATTGAAAACCCAATTGTCTTATTGGACCATGGGATGTCAAATAAATTATCTCCCTGAAAGGCAAGATAGGCCAGGATAAAATAATATTTCCAAGTCGACTGAGAAATTATTGGGTTTACCAAACTTCAAATAAAGTCCTATTATTTAATTAATCCTAATCTCCCCAACCAAACGAGGCCTTATTTTGTATTTTCCTTATTACATCTATTTTTTAGCAATGTATATGCAATGATGATGACATTTGCAGCATGTTTGTCTATGTGAAACTTCTTATTCATAGTTTTGGTGCTCCAGGTGTTCGATTTGGTAAACCGTGAAGCATGTAACCCGTCGTTGCGTGTGAATCTGACTGGTATAAAAGAAAATTATTTACGCTTAAGCATTGGTCAAGGATCATCAGTTTCCATCTCACTTGTACCATCTGATGAAGATGATCAGACAGTTGGTACTTCTGACAGAGATACTACCGAGTCATCATATGTACCTGTGGAAGGTGGAGCGAAGTTGGGAGAAGGAATTGACAGAGCAAAGAAATTTGGGATCCCAAATCAACTCGGTTTCGAGATTTATTTGCGACAAGTATTTCATGAATATGCATTTGTGAAAGCTAAAAACAAAGCCATGACTTCATCAAGAAGTCAAATTCCTGGCCAGCCACTTAAGGACAATTCGAACATTCTAGGTCATTTTTGCATGTCGATTGCTCACAGAATCTTCTCAAATAAAGTTCTATCCTTGCTGGAAAATCTGGTATGCTGTATACGAAACTGCTAAAATTCTCTAAGTTGGGTTATGTTTATGCCAGACGGACTTCATCTTTTATGTTTTTTTCTGCACTTGAAGGTTTACAGGACGCCTTATGTACGCTTGATTTCTCACCCGACTTGGATTCTCGGACATCTTCATGGACGCTTTCGATGAAGATTCCTCAATCCATCCTTCACGCAGGTAGACAAATTCAGACATCTGGCGGCGGCACTATCAAGACTGTAAGATCTCAGTTCTGGACTAAGGTGGTGGTCATTGACGATTCCATTAGTGTAGAAGGCGAAGGTGCTCCTAGTGTTGTTGGCCTATTCAAAGGGAAGGCTGACGGCGTTTCTTCTATTAATGGATATGACAGTGACTTGGCAGATCTTCCTATAATACTCCTGCAGCAGGTTCGAAATTATGCCCTTTTTTGTTAGTCAATTTGAATTGAGATTATTACTGCATGTTTGAGGCATCTTTTCCTCCATAACGCATAGTGTGGGGGTGGGGTAAATGAGTTGAGTACAATATTACGTGCTTTAGCTCAGAAGAAAAATCGATCTAGAGCTTGATTTTGTTGAGCTTCAAGCTACAAGCTCAAGCTCGTCAACAAGAAAGTACATTTTTAAATATTGAATTAAAAAATATAAAAAAATAGATTATATCTTGAGTAATTATTAGTTTGCGAAAAGAAAGTTTATTTAGGATTTTAGTGTGGAAAGAGCTTAATATTTTAAAATGAAAGTAAGAAATAAATTAGAGTAGTAGAGTAAGAATGGATGAACATATAAATAGATACTAACGAATAATAATTTAAATACTGTACTTTCACAGTTTCACTAAGAAGAAAGTTTATTTAGGATTTTAGTGTGAAAAGAGCTTAATATTTTTAAAATGAAAGTAATAATATAAATTAGAGTAGTAGAGTAAGAATGGATGAATATATAAATAGATACTAACAAATAATAATTTTAATATTGTACTTTCACTAATTATTTGTGAAAGGTGAAGACATGTGCATGCATGAATTAGAATACACACATTCTAATAATAATTATAAGATAATTATAGAAGTATAAACTGGGAATAAGTTGGGATATGTTAAGAGATGATAAATAACGAGCACATGTGCCATGTTCAATATTTATTTACGACAGCAAAATCTTGATCCGATGTAAATTAATTTTATAATTTCAAAATATTAAATATCTATACGTCCCGTCCCATCTTCCCTTTGAGAAACAGAATAAGTTTGTTTTGGAACTTGTCATGCTCGTATTTCCTCGTTTATAGGGAAGCTATTTGGTTAAAATTCATAAAAGGAAATTTTTCTTCATACATCAACACAAGGCTTATATAACGCATAGCCTATGCATTTGTTACATTTTAGGTAGTATAATTACTGCTAAATGCATATGCTTAAATTAATGCTGTCGATTTATTTTTATTTTTTATTTTTATAAATTAGGTTGCTAGTCAAATAATCCAGTGGCTACATGAGGAATCACTTACTGTTGGTATAAAAGCAACGAGAGACTTCTTATCACTTGCTTTCGAGCTGGAGCAGGGTGAAATAGTCCGACTCGTGGCTCATGTAGACCCTGAAGATACTCAGGGATGCATCTCTTGGTGGCTCACTATAGATAACGGGTTCATCGAAGAACATAAGCTTCATTCATACACGTCCAATTTTGAATCCGAAACCAGAAAATTCTTAGGATATTTGTCTCTCGATCTACTGTACTCGACTTTGTTGGACTTTTTGAATTTATGCAGCTGTTGAGAGTGATAGTGGGGGGAATGATAATCGTATCGGAATTAAATAATTATATTTTATTTGATGTTTGGTTACTGCAATGATTTTGCAATGATTTTTCGCATCTGCCCAAGATTGTGTAGTGTACCTCCCCGAAGTGTACCACTAGAAATACGAAGAGTAGTTAGATATGTAATCGTTATATAATTGTTCGTACTTGTAAAGAACTTAAACGGGACAACATGGTTTGTTTTTTTTTTCTTTTATTGTTTTTTACCTTTTCTGGTAATTAGATATTTAACCTTTTTAGAGATATGCACTGTACTTCATATGAAGGGATATATTGTTAATTGGTTAATTTAGTTCTCATTATTGGATTTGGTACTGGTTTTGTTATTAGAGGAAAGTTAGGTTTGAATCTGCTCTTTTATATATATTTTAGCAGGATTTGAATTGTAATTACATATCCCAAATTGTTGATTTAATTTTAGGGTTAAATACAGTTTGCACTCCTAAAGTATACCCTCTGTAACACTTACCCCTTAAAGTATCATTTGTAACACTTATCCTCTCAAGCACAATTTAATTTGTATTTTAAAATTTAATACCTTAAAAAAATATTTTATTGAAAGGAATAACTAAAAGAATAATTAAATTATACAAATAAAAATATCTGTTGAAAAATACAATATTTAAAAATTTAAAAATATTATCTTGCGTTGTATACTTATTCAATAAATAACATCTAATTGTTGTTGGACCAACTAATCAAAAATACTCTATCGATTAACTTTAAGAAATCAATACATAATTAATATAAATCTTAAGTATTTAAATTTATTTTAGTTCATTAATTTTTTTAAATATATTTTCATTCATTATTACCCAATATACATTACTTTTTAATTTTTTTTCAATAGTTAATTTTAGTTACTTTTCAATTTTCTATGAACCGTTAATTATTAGATTGTTATGTTTATTATTTTGAAAATTTTAAAATATAAAATAATTGATGTTGAGGGGGGTAAGTGTTACATGAGTTATACTTCAGGGGTGCAAAGTGTATTTAACCCTTAATTTTATTATAGACAAAAGAATTGAGTTTATTTCATGTTAGACTTGTATTATAATCTTTCATTCTCTCTCTCACACACACAGTCCAACGGGTAAACTACAGTTTTTTCATCCCTCAAGTTTGTATTGATTTCACATTTGGTCCATTTTGCTTCAAAAATTCAACATTTTTAGTCGTTCCGGTCAATTTTCCGTTAGTACTAACAGAATCAAGAGTATGCCGATGACTGCCTTAACTGACGAACTACCGGTAAATTGACGAAAATGATGAAAATGACAAAAAATGTTAAATTATTGAATCAAATGTGTTATTTTGAGAATATGGGGATCAAATATGAAATCAATGCAAACTTGAGGGATGAAACCTGTAATTTTTTCCATAGTCCAACATTGAATATTTGAATAAATTATATTAAAATTCCATAAAAATGGCGCATGTTAAAATTGCAAGATCCCCATCACAAATTCAATTCCTACCATGCTATTGAAAGTAAAATTTAATATGATTATTCATCAAATTAGTAACCGGTGTGTTTTGTCCAATAATACTTTACTTGATAAGTAGTTCTACACTACACGTGATCACTTTTTCCACAATTTAATTAATTTATGATATTATTACTAATAATAGTAATAATATTTTCACTAAAATTAGAACAAAAGCCCTAGGTCCCATTTCCCAGCTCCTCTCCATCGCCGCCGTCGGCGAATCATCGCAGCGCCGCCGTCTGCATCCCCATCTTACTCGCTTTTGGAATCTATGGTTCTAGTTTCCTCCTCCGCTATTGAGATTAATCAACCGTGAATTGCCACTGAGAGTATTTGATATCTGAGCTGACTGAAATGGCAGTTCTGTGAGCTGTTTTGAGAGCTTGGTGTAAACTCAGGTAATTCTCTTCCTTTTGTATACTTGTGTTTTTGCTTTGTGACTGTGGTACTTTTTCCTACAATTTTTTATTCTGTTTGTTGATCTATCTTTCACCATTTTTATCTGAATCGGAGCTTATTGTTTATGTTATTTTGAAGATACGGTGAAACTGTGGGTTGAATTTATTCTTTAGGATTATTCGCTACATTTTGCAGGTGAATTTGTTTTCAATTTTCATGTGATGTGAAGAAAATTTGGTAAAATATTTCAATAATTGTGGGAACATTACGGATGGCATAGCTAAGTGCGGGGTTTCGGGTTTTCGAGTAATGCTATATTCTGTATATATCAATTTCTATGAAAAAAATATTTTTTGGTGTGTATTATCAAGCTCATATTTCAGCTGTCGAACATTGTTGAATTTGTGATTTAGGGCTAAACTTAATACACTCGTAGTTTTAATTAAGATCAAAAACTGATTGGAAGCACTTTCCATTTAGAAAATAGTCAACACCAAATTTAGAGTGGCTAGAGAAGCCAGAACACTTCATCTGTATGTAGTATGAATGATAAGGTGAGATGCTATCTGCATTCGTAATGCTTCCCAAATAATAAGGTGAGATTAATCTGCATCCTCGACACTTCTCAAATAATAACGTGACTCAGCGCAGACCTATATAAATTCATCCACTTAGAATTTAGTTGCATATATAAGCATACATGATAATCTATTTATACGTGTCAATGCAACTTTGATGAAGTCATTTCTTTATACTTATTAGATAATACATATCGAAAATTCTTTAGTCATTTGAAACGTAGAACATTTGCTTTCACAATTGAGAAGTTCCCGCTGAAGTAGCAGTTGCGATATTTTCTCTGTAATATTTGTATTATGTGTTTAAATGTAGGTATTTACTTCAGTAGCTTCCATAATGAAGCCAAGAACCAACGAGGCACCGAGGAGGTCCCGAAATCCTCAGGGGGAAGGCAACAACTGGATGCTTATTGCAGGGAGTGCTCTGCTGAGTACATTGTCAATTCGCCTAGGTTATAAGCTTAAGCAGGTCTTTGATGCTAAACAAGTGGACAATAGTAGCAAAAAATTGAAAGGTGTGCAATGCATGTTGATGTGAACTTATTCTGGAACTTTGTCTATACTATTTGAAAGTTGTTTTCTAATTGCAGCAAATGGGAAATCTGCTGATGATCGAAAGAAGTCGGGGAGTTGCCATTTGCATTCTAATGCCTGTTGTTTTCCCCAAGACGAAGATGGTTGCTACAATCATTATCCAGGTGTAAAGTCTATAGATATATGTATTTTCATGATCAAATTGGATTTTCCTTCATGATTTTTCTGTCCGTCGTGTAGAATAAATATCGTTTTAAGTATACTCTTCCTGTTGTGAAGTGGATAAACCATGCCTTGCAAAGCAAATGTTTTCACTACTAGGCTGAACATGAATAAATTACTGATGATTTGTAACAATGTTCCACATCAACTTATGCTACTCCCTCCTTCCTATTTTATTTGTCGTTTTTGGCTAATGCACACATATTAAGAAATTAGAAACCTGATAAAGTGACTAAGAGACCCCCTTCTCGTTAATTGTTTCACCATTAATTATCTCTCAATAAATTACAAATAGTAAGGGCAGAATTGAGAAATGTATAATAAATGCTTCACTGGAATTCTAAGTGATCAATAATTTGAAAAAAAGAAAATTTCCAAAGCGACGAATACTATGGAAAGGAGGCAGTATTAACTATTAAAGGTGGTTCAAATTCGATTTAGAGAAATGGATATCTTCATAGGATGTTACACAATTATAATGGCATGATATACAGTGCACCTCACCAGAACGCATAACTCGATTTTTGCCCCCTTTTCAATCTTTTGCATGATTTCCAAGATGTATTCTCTTACAATCTCTTCTGATTATACACTGATATCTGCTCTCATCAAAACAGCATCAAGAAATGCAGCGGATATCAAACAGCACTGCAACAGCCAAACGATGTCAGAATCCGAAATGGTTCTCCCTCTCGTAAGTGTCCCAACTTCCGAGTTCAACAAAGACAACAACGGTGTGATGTGGTCATCATCCCCCGACCGCCTAGAGCTGCCGCACAAACCTTTCCATCAATCAAACAGCTCGGAATCGCCATGCGTATCCGAAGCAGGTTCAGACATCTTCAGCAAACGCGAGGTCATACACAAGCTGCGACAGCAGTTGAAGAGAAGGGACGACATGGTACTCGAAATGCAGGACCAAATTGCCGAACTCCAAAACTCCCTCAGCATGCAGCTTTCGCACTCTTCGCACCAGCAAGCGCTCCTCGATTCTGCAAACAGGGATTTGTTCGATTCGGAAAGGGAAATTCAGAGATTGAGAAAAGCAATCGCAGATCACTGTGTCGGACATGTCGATAAGTCGCCCCCTTCGGTTCCGATTTGGCCCCCCGAGGGGCGAAATGGTCATTCGAATGGATATCCGGAAGTCGAAAGCAATTTGGAGTCTTCTTTGTCGGGGGAAAAGATAGAAATGTTGAAGAGGGAAGTTAGTGAGTTGAAAGAGCTGATTGATGGGAAAGACTACTTGCTTCTAAGCTACAAGGAGCAGAAGTGTGAGCTGTCGGTGAAGATCAAAGAATTGCAGCAGAGATTGGATTCTCAACTACCGAATATTTTGTAGGCGTATTTGAGCTTCTTGTGCATATTTCTCGTGTGGGTTCAATTTTTTTTTTTCCTCTATTTTTTTTCCCTTGTTTGGTTTTAAGCTCTCAATTTTTGGAAAGTTCGTTCGTGTTTTTCGTGTTCCTTTCTCTGGAGTGGTTTCTTGTTTGTGCATATATGGAAGATAATTAGATGCTCGTGAATTTAGAGCTCGACGCGAATTAATGAGTAACACGGTTTTTAGTGTGGCGAGCTTATGTTTTGGACTTTGGACATATTCAACAGGCAAAATCTCTATTAGGTTTTCAACAGTTTAGTCATTAGTGTAGCCAGTGCAATGCCGGTGATATAACGTTACCCAATGTATTTCACTCGATATAGCATCTACTACAAGTCGATCATTTGTGTTGAAAGCGTCAAAGTTGCAACTTGGCAAATAAATTCGAATTTTTCATCAGAAAATTTACAAAATTGAAAGTTCAAAAATTAAGGATTAAGTTCACCAAATCGAACGATTTAACCCATAAACCGTTTATCGTACAGTATCGCATATAAACAAATTAAAGATGAGAGCCATGCTTACCTTTATTATGAGCAAAGGAATCAGAAAAGTCGACTCTATGTTTTTTCTCCCATTCTCGATGGACTTGCATCAAGTGAAAACGCAATCCCCTTAACTTAGACGAATACGACCACGTAATAAAATCACAGAGAGAAGCTTTATCAGATTGCATTTGTTAAAGTTCCAACAGCTTTTCAACTTATCCCGACCAAATTCCTGAATGCCTGAACATGCTCGATCCTTTTGCTTTGAGTCTCGTCTTTAGCATCAGATTCAGTTAAAGTCCGATAAAGATCCCTGTGAAATTTCAAGAACTCGGTTTTATAGCTCCACTTATCCAAGAACATACCGTTCTTAATCATGAATCCAATCACCTCCATAACCCTCTCGAAATATCCTCCCCGAATAAAATTCAAAAGCAACAACTCGTACAAATCTCTGTTATATACCGTATTCCGATTATTCACCATGGACCTTTTGATGTCGCCCCACAAGCTCGTGATTTCACGGTACATCCCCAATGAACTGTACCCACAAATCATATGGAAAAAAGTCGAAGCATTAGCCTGGATTTTCATCTTATGCAGTTTGCGGTACGTCTGTGTTGCGTCTTCGATCATTTTCGCCTTTGTGAAGAAGTACAGAGAGGAATTGTATTCGTGAACCAAAACGGGAGTTGCATTTTCCTCTTCTCTCATATGTTGGATTATACAGTTAGCTAAATCTGATTTCGACACTGCAGTTTCTTTCATATCATCAGAAAAATTTATACCGATCCCAACTTTCTTGATTTGTCTTAATAGTCCTTCCGCTTCCCTCGGCATATTTTCCTTGTAATAACAAGTCAGAAGGTATTTATACGAACTTTCCCTCACACTGTACTTCTCCGATTCAAAATCCTCTAAAAGATCGTGAGCAGTTTCGAGCCATCCCAAGTAAATACAAGCGTCGATTACATCTGAACACGAACTGTTATTTGGCGGTGAATTTAGCATACTCTGAATGCTAATAAGAAGTTTCGAGAGATCGCTAATTCTCCCACATCTCTTGTACTCGATAACGAGCTTTGCCAACCCGTTATTACTCAGAACAAATTTCCCATTCTTGTACAAGACAAGCTCGTTTTTACCGTCCACTTTATAGACAAAATCCTTCTGTATTTGCTGGGGTAGAAACTGCAGTTTTAACCCCATTTTGATTTTGTCCGATCCAATCGAGACAGTGCAATATCCCTTTTGTTCTCTCGGAGAAGGGTTCGGTTCGCGATTTCCAGACAGCTCCAGTAAGAGTGCAGACACACTGTCGATATCGTTGAACTTAAAATGCAAGGAAATCAAACGGTCGTAAAACTGCTGATAGTGACGAGATAAAGTAACTGGAACTGCATCAATATAGTCTTTGAATTTCTTCAACTCATCCCTCGTGCCATTCATTTCATGTACACGAGCAATAATGACAGCTGAATCCGCATCGGCTACAACTCCTGTAATCGGCATCAGCTCCATAATTTGCTGACCTTTTAAACAATTTCCAAATCTCGCACATGAATCAAGAACGAGGTTAAAAATCGTCACGTCGGGCTTCGTCAGCTGACACGATTTCTTGACACTTAGTTTCTGAAAACAGTAACAAATTTCCTCCAAGATATTCGACGCTAAATACGACCCAGTTTCCGTCTTGACCAAATGCAGAAACACCATTCTTAAAACCTCCAACGAAGGTAAACTATTCTTGTCGAGCATTATCCTGAGAATGTTCGAAGCAGGAACAGGAATTTGAGCCCTCGACAAAGAAAGGACAAGCTTCGTCATAACATCGTGCCTCAGTAAAACCGACTTCTCCCTCGAAATCGAGAGAGCTAAATCAGAAGCTCGACGGAGGTATTTGGAATCTGTTGTATACGAAAACTCCGTTATCAGATTAGAAATAAATAGCTGTTCAGGGTAACCGTAAACGAGCTTGAAATCTTGGTAAGTTTTCCACGCTTCATCCAATTGGTGCTCCTTCAGAGCCTTTTCGAGCTTTTCTAGCAAAATCCACTGCGGGGGTTTTTTGGAGGATAACTTTTCGAGCTTTTCAGCAATAGTAGAAAATTCTTCGGAAAATCGACTACGGTGTAACCTATTATCATTACAACTATTCAACTGCTGGAAACTTACATTGTGGCTGCAGACATTTCTTCCACCAAATATCAATCTCAAGAAACCATTTTGATTACATCTTATTAACGATTGGAGCTTTGACATTGGAATGAAATTTCAAGATATTAACATCGCTTAACTCAATGACGTCATCATGACATCATCAATGCTTGAAAAATTAGGATATTGAAATCAATCAACCGCTGGAACGATTCCTCCTTCGCATACGCAGTTCAGTTCAATTTTTCAATGGAGGAGCAAATTAATACATTCACGAATCGATACATTTACCACAGTTAGGCTTTCTATAAAATAAATTCACAAGTTAATAAAAAAGAAAAAAAAAAGTTGTCAAAATCATGTTTTACGAGCATAATCACGAACCTTGGAAAGCAAGGAGGTAAAACGGCGATTGTAGACGGAGATTATTAGGGCGAGAGAAGAACCCGGCGGCAAACGGCGGCGTTGTAGGTGGCGGGCTGCTTCACTGCGTTTTCCTTTTTCATGGAATTATAATTGGGAAAATTACAATTTTCATCCTTCACTTTTTCACTGATTTCACTTTTGGTCCTCATGTTCACGTTTGATTTTGCTAGTGCTAACGGAAATTTTACGGGAATGACTAAAAGTGTTAACTTTTGTAACATGAAGGACCTAAATATACTTTTTGTGAACATATGGACCAAATGTGAAATTAGTGAAAACTTTAGGGATGAAAACTGTATTTTTCCTAATTAGAATTTAGAACGAGCACCAAAAAACAAAAGCGTGCTTCTTCACCAACAAATACAACTGAAAGTCGCGTGTTTGTCGCGTCTTATGACTCACCGCCGAGTTAAAGCACGAGTCAGCATCTCCGCATAAATAAAGCAAACCGATTTTCTCGAATTTTCAATTTTCTCTCTCGAAACTCTGCAATTTCCATCAAAAGCTCACTGAAGTAAAAATCAACAGACAAAAAATCTCCGATCAGATAAATGGGAATTCCATCAGAAATGAGGGACTTATTTGCAAATCGCAATAAATCTTTGATGATCGCATCTCCAATTGAAGATGAGAAAATTCTCCGATCTAAGCAGTGCACTCAAGGTTTTTTTTTTTTGCTGATAAAAGGACTCGCTAATTGAGTTTAATTTTTTTATTTGCATTTCTAGGTAAATTTTTTTTTTGAGAGTGCATTTCTAGGTAATTAGTGTAGACTAATACTAATTAGTGATTACTAATTATTAATTATTTGCTTAAACTATGGTGTTTATTTTGGCTTGCAGAAGGGGTTCGTGCTGGAGCGAAAGCTGCTGCAGTTGCATGTGTTGCCACCTCTATACCTACCGTGCGTAATTTTTCTCCGTTCATTGCGGTTTTTCATATTTATCGAATGCCGATTATTTCGTTCAAGTTATTATTAATTCGAAAATGATCGATTAATCGCCGAACTAAAAGGTTAATAAATAAAATGCTCGTGAAGTTGAATCGCTCACACTGATGTTTTACGTGCGGTCGAATTCATGATTGTTGCTATTTTCACTTCCCTATTCGATATCTTTTTGTTTAAGGTATTTTAATTTGAACTTAGATATTTTAATTATAAGTTCGTTTATATACGCGCGTAAAACTATAAATGTGCCGAAATTTTTCAGCTGGTAGCTGTTCGAAAAATTCCTTGGGCAAAGGCGAATCTCAACTATACCGCCCAGGCACTCATTATATCCGCTGGTAAGTTCGTTAATTAGAATATTTTGGACATGTTTACTCGTGAATAATTGATTCTTCGAGGAATTGAGAGTGTTTTATTAACGGCATTTTAGACTGATCGTCTCATAATTGTAGTATAACTAGCTGAAATCAATAATAAAATGTACCGGCTCTGTCGATTGGCCGACGTTATTTCTTGTGTTTTAAGGATTGGTATATGGCCTTTCGAGTATATGTTATTCGAGGATGGTATTATGGCTTATATATATTTTCCCTTGTGAAAATTTATGAATATTGATTATTTTTTTAATATATATATTTTTTTTTGGATGATGAACAGCTTCTATAGCAGCATACTTCATCACAGCTGACAAAACCATATTGGAGTGTGCTAGGAGAAATGCACATTACAAATCACCTTAAGAAAATGAAAGTCCTTTTTGATGCTGTAATAACTGCTTTTGTGCTCAACTTTACATGGTGGCTTCTGTTTATATTCTTCAAGCTTCTGTAAGTACTGTTTTCTTTCGCTCGATATATATTCTCGATTTTGGTGGTTTTTTATTTTCTTTAGTGGAGTGAAGTGTGTGTATATATATATATATATTAAATATAAGGGTAAATGACGGCTACCCATGAGGTAAAGTCAAATTACAAAAAAAAAGAAAAAAAAAAAAACTCGTGTTTGGGTAATTACTGCCAACCCCTCAATTATGAATCTTCTTACAAGTTTGCGTGGCAAATTTAGTGGAATATAATCTTCTAGATTATGTGGAATATTTTTGTGCAATATTTTTCAGTTTGTAACCGTTTTACCCCATTCGAGCTCCACATTTTGAAACAAGATAATCATAAGATGTGTCTCTTGGGTTGTAAATATCAGATTGTGGTGCATCACAAACTGCATTTTTGCACAGAACGAGTACAATCTAGAGAATATTCCACATAATCTAGAAGATTCTGTTGAATTTGCCACCATAAGGTTGGACGTGTAAGAAGATTTGTAATTAAGCGGTGGTTGTAATTACCCAAACATGAGAGATTTTTTCGTAATTTGACATTACCTCGGGGGTGCTAATTTACTCTAAATAAAGAAAAAGATAGGATCTTATTTGCATAAATACAGTTCCCTCACAACATATACAATTACAGTTTATCAGTACTCAGACTCTGCTTACAAGTACTCTGCCTTCCCATAATACAGTTAAACATTATTTTAACTATTCTTATAACTTATAAGTATACACCTAAATCTAACCAAAGTACCCAAAAATCACATTTCCCTTAAAACCATTTTAGTATTACACAAGGCTCACCAAACTGTTATCGATTTCATCCATCAACTTCTTCGAATCACACCTGTAACTCGAGATATACTTATCCTCGCCAAGAAGTGGTGCCACGTCGTACTCTTTTCCCGCCTTTTTTCCGTCGAGAGATTTGCATCGGAGAAGAATCTTCGTAACCTCTTTCATGGTGGGCCTACTTGTAGGCAACGGGCTAGTGCACATTAGCCCGAGCTTGAAAACACTAATAATTTCTTCCAAATAAAATGGATCTTTTATTTCTTCGTCTATTGCTTCGGCGATGGGTTCTTCTTCTCCGTAGCGCTTCCACGCCCACTCCGCTAGGCTTGTGTGTTCATCGCCGCAATTGGGTGCTCTACCGGTTACTAGTTCCAATAGCACCACTCCGAAGCTGTAAACGTCGATTTTCTCGTTTACTTTCGTTGTGTAAGCGTACTCTGCAAGAAGATTAGTGTATATTTAGACCTCGTTTGGTTGCCACAATTAGGTAAAATGTAAATCTATATAAGATATTTACTATATAAAGGTGCATTATAAGTGGAAAAAATACTTAGTTATATATTTTGTTCAACATGATTACCTGGTGCAAAATACCCAAAGGAGCCAGCCACAGCAGACATAGTATTAGCCTCCCCTTTCTTGATCAAAATCTTAGCCAATCCAAAATCCGCTATTTTCGCCCTGAAATCCGAATCCAACAAAATATTGCTCGATTTCACGTCACGGTGAATTATCGCAGGCGTACAATCATGGTGCATATAGCAAAGCCCTTGTGCAGCTCCAATCGCAATTCTCAATCTAGCCGCCCAATCCAACACAACACCATTTCTCAATTCTCTCTTCTTCCCATAAAGCCATTTATCAAGACTACGATTCTCCATATACTCGTAAACAAGAAGCTTCGAATCATCGCTCGCAATGCAGCACAGTAGCTTCACTATATTAGAATGGCGAACAGAGCCGAGTATTTCGACCTCCGCCAGAAACTCCTTCTCGAGCAAATAATCGACTTTTTTATCGCTCCAAATTCTCTTCACTGCCACGTGTTGACCATTTCTGTCAACCGCGATTTTGTACACTTTTCCCGATCCACCACAGCCAATCATATTAGTTTCGGACAAACTAGACAATATATTAACCTCGGTGAAATCTAACCTTTGGAACGAGGTTAATTTCCATGTTGCAAGATCTCGGTTAAGCTTCTTTCTTTTGCAGTCTCTAACTAAATACTTAGTCATCAAGATAGTGATCAAGAAAAGGGCTAACACTAGAACTACAATCACAGCAAGAAATTTCGGTGGGAGTTTCTTGGTTTTGTTGAACCCTGCATAACAGCTACGAAGATTGGAGATTGAATTGGCGGTGCAAAGTTTTGGGTTGTTCAAGAAACTGTTTTGGTAAGCTGAATTATCAAACTCGATCGGGATTTTTCCGGTGAGGTAATTGGACGAAAGGTTGAGAGAAGTGAGCTTCAATTGCCCTAACTGAGGTGGGATTTCACCGGAGAATTGATTTTCCGATAAGTCTAGATCAAGAAGATCGGGTAACGAGCCCAACTTCGGTGGGATTGGGCCGGATAATTTATTCCTTGCGAGATTCAAATTATTGAGATTTTTCCATGAGAGTATTTCAGATGGTAATTCACCTGAAAGAGAGTTTCCATCAAGTACCAAAGTGATGATTTGACGAAGGCTTGTTAATCCTTGCGGGATTGGCCCTGTGAAGATGTTGTTACTTGCTTTGAACACGATCAGATTTGCCCAGGATGACACGTCAGATGGTATTTCGCCGGAGAATTTGTTGTTGCTGATCTCCAGACGGGTCAAGTTCCAGGCGACCCGACCAGGAAGTTGGCCGGAGAATGAGTTGTCGCTCAGCATCATACTGGTCATGTTTTCTGCAGACCAAAGTCCCGGCGGAACCTCGCCGGAGAAGCTATTGCTGTAGAGCTGCACCGAGCGGAGTGTTTGGCAATTCGCGAGTGATTTCGGAATTTGGCCGGTTAAATTGTTGTTGAAAGCCACCACGCCGAACAGAGTCTTGCCGGCGCATAAGTTTGCCGGTAGGTTTCCGGTGAAATGGTTGTCGGAGACTTCGAAAGCTTCGAGGTTTGAGTGAAGCCCCATCTCCGACGGCAATTCGCCGCTCAAATTGTTTCTGAAACACCGGAAATTCTTCAGGGCTGGGATTAAACCTATGCTTGGCGGCAATTCACCGTGCAATTCGTTTGCAAAGAGATTCAAAAGCTCGAGATTCTTCAGTTTGCCGAAATCTTCCGGTACTTCGCCGGAGAGTTTGTTCATGGCGAGATCGATTTCAACCAAATTCAACGACTCGATAACCGGAGGAATCGAACCGGAAAATCTGTTCTTATACAAATAAACCTTGCTCAAATTCTTCAGCAAGAATAATCCACTAGGGATCTCCCCTTCCATATCGTTTGAAGATAAATCCAAATGTGTAAGACTCGACAAATTCGAAAAACTCTCAGGCATTTCGCCGAACACCTTGGCGTGTGTCATCCAAATATATTTGATTCTCCTCAGCTTTCCGAACTCCGGCGGAATAACCGCCGGCCGGAAGTCGTTATACGCCAACCCTAGATGTTCGAGGTTTGCCAGATTCGAAATCTCCACCGGGTAGCTCCCGTTGAGCAGATTCATGTACATATACAGACTCTTCAGCTGAGTCAGATTCCCGATGGCCGGAGGAATATCGCCGGTGAAGTTGTTCGCCCCGAGGTCGAGGTAATTGAGTGATTCGAGCCGGTCGATATTCGCCGGAATATTCCCAACGAATAAGTTCTGCGAGAGGTCTAGATGCTGAAGGTTTGAGCAGTTCAAGATGGCGGTGGGGAAATTCCCCGGGAAGAAATTGTAGGAGAGATCGAGAACTGTCAAGTTCGCGAGGGCGGAGATGGAGTCTGTGATGCTTCCGCTGAGGTTACAGTTTTTGAGGAATATTCCGGTGACGGAGCCCTCGCCGGAGCATTGAATTTCCGGCCAGTCGCAGGGTGATGACGTGGCGTTCCATGAATCAAGCGCCGGGGGGTCGTCCCATACTTGTTTGAGGTTTAAGAGGGTGGCTCTCTCGGCGGGGGAGAATTGTGAATTTACGAAAAAGGGCACGGAGGAGAGGAGGAAGATGAGCAAAGGAAGCTGGGTTTCTGTGTGGGAGAAGGGTAGTTTAGTCATTTGGCGGCGGCGGACGGTGGAGGAGAGAAGAAATGAGCTGAGAGTGCACTCCTTTCAGTTTCTATGCGGGTCAACTTTGGAGTTTGGACAAATGTGGTTTAAATAGTAAATATTTATTCGTTCGAGAATATAAAAAAATAATATTTTTTTTATTAAAAAAATTATATAAAAAAAAATGGGGAATTAGCCACTAATTGTATTCAACGGCTAGATGGGGAATATCCACTAATGATATTTAAATTACAAATTGAGAATATAATCCTTATATTATTTATTTAGGCCTCATTTGAATGTTAATAGAATTGATTTAAATTAATTAAATTGAGTATAATTAAAAATATCATGTTAATATAAATATATAATAAGAAACGTTTCATATATAAAATTTATTATGATTAATATTACACTTGTATCATGTATTATATGTAATCAATTATTTAAAAATAGGGGCAATTTGGTAAACAACTATATTAAAAAAATATTAGAAAAAAAGTTACCCAATGCAAGAATTCTAGTAGATTATTTATACATACACATAACATAGAAATAGAATGTAAAATTTTTTTAATGAAGGAGCCCGCAATTAATTATATTGGTGCACTGAGTCAATTTTACACTCTCGCATAATAATTTGTAAAATGTACGAGAGATTCAAATCACACTAAACTGACCATGTATGACAAGCTTGATACGAGAGATATAAACCATATTAAACTAACTATAGATGACAAACTCGAAATAACATTGACAAGAGGATTCGAATCTGAGTTAATTGACGAATAGAAGTATAACTAACACTATCATGTTTTAAAAGATTTGATAAACAATGAAGAAAGGAAGAAAAGTCAACATTGGAGTTTCGGTCGTACACGACTTGGATGGTTTTAGACTAAACAAGCGATGTGCCCACGTGGGTCCCACCACCACATTCCTCACTCCAATGCAGTAAAATTAAACTTTGCATATAAATAGGTATTAATTATTAATTATGGGGTGGTAGTTAATTGTAGATAAAATCAAAGTCAAAGAGATCAACAACTTATTGTCTTCTTTCTGGTGGTTAGCCAAATTAGCAAACAAATTTCTGATATGCTTATGGCTTAATCCCACTTTGCACTAGTGAAATATAATAGTTTGGTATTTTGCACCTCCGAAAAAAATAATACCGCTTTGCACTGTTTAAATATATAGTTTGGTATTTTGCACCTCCGAAAAAAAATAATACCGCTTTGTATCATCGGCACACCGAATTCAAAATGCACAATGCATTGAATATTTAAAACTTATTTAATGAAAGCAATTTTATTTATTTTTTTGGGTTTTTTGTGTGTGTAAAATAACAAATTAAATAGTTATTTTCTTTTACTACCAATCTAATTTCGAGCATACTAAGTGTAGAATAACAAGAATCATATTGAATTACTCAAAATACTATGTTTTCTTACAAACAAAAAATAAAATAAAATATCCTCACTAAATGATTCGTTTGATGGATCTTTTATTATAAACTGGTGAAAATAATTAGTTAAAATATTTAGAAGAAAATATATTTTTGAGCTAAATGATTTTTTCTAATTTTTTCAAGTAATATATTTTTTGTGATAAAATATTAAATTGCCATCACTAATTTTAAAAATTCATTCAGAGTACATTGTCTATAATTATTGTGTTTTGAGAATGTAAAATATTATTAATTTTATTTTTAGGCCGAAAAAATACATTTTAAGAGTGCATAGTGAAATTCAACCTATGCTTAATTGGTAGAATAAGCCAATAAAATTTATTGAGTGTCACGTAGGACTAGGGGTGAAAGTCGGATGGATCGGATCGGAATTAGCCTTTTCGGAAAATTTCCAAAAAATTTCGGAAGTACAAAATCAATTCCAATTCCAATTCCAAAATTTTCGGAATCTAAAAATTCATTCCAATTCCAAAAGCCCCGGAAATTTCGGAATTTCGGAAAAAAATCGGAAATCACATAAGCTTTAAAATTTCAAAATTTAGCCGAAATTTTCTAAAATGTTCATAATTTTTCAAAAATAAGAACATCCATGTCGATAAAAGTAAAACTAATAACTACTAAATTTCAGTTCAAAAAAATTAATATAAATAAACACAACATAATATCCAATAAAACTTCTAACAAAAAATCATTATGTCAAAATCCTAAAACAAACCTTATAGGTGTATTTTTCGGAAAATAAGAATTTTATAAAATATATTATTTTTAGGTGTATTTTTCGGAAAAAAATCGAAATTTTTCGGAATTAATTTCGGAATTAAATCGGATCGGAAATCGGAAATTCCATATTTATTTTATATAATTCCAATTCCAATCCAAAAAATTCGGAAAAATTCGGAAATCGGAATTTCGGAAGTCGGAATGAAAAAAGTTGTTCCAAAATCGGAACTTTTCGGATCGGAACCGGCGGAAATTGGAAATTCCGTTCCAACTTGCACCCCTACGTAGGACAAACAAGATATATTTTACAATATATTTAGAAAAATTAATAAGAAATCTAAGTATAGTGGGGCCCATTTAATGTTGATGTGTTATCTTGACTTAAAAGATCACAAATCCAGCTAGTGGGCCCAATTTCTAGAAGATATAAACATCATTAAGCCCGTGCGATTTATTCTAATATTAGTATTTACTAAAATTCAACTTGCTTTTAGCCGGAACGGGTCCACTTGGGGAAAAAAAACGTCTCGGTATTTAGGAATAATATCTTGTTTAGATAATATATTCCATCTCCCTAAATAAATAAATAAATAAAAGACAATTTATTCCCCCAAATAAATTGTTTCTACAAGTTTACTTAAGAACAAAAACTAAAAAATAGTTGTATAATAGTGATATCGGGATGGATTGCCTTAAAGGCCCGCACAGTAAAAAGTCTACAAACAAAATTTGGACCTACTCTTGTTTGACCCACTAAGCAAGCCATCGGCATATCTAAGGTAGCTATAAGTGGAGGATGTGACTGCAATTGCGCCACAAACGGAGAAATCGGAAAACTTGCAAAATGACATGGATTGGGGTAAGAGCCCCATTGTGAATTAAAAGGAAGCAATCACACCCGCTAGCCCTCCCTATTTGAACTGACACCCAACTCGCAAGGAACGAGACAGCTCGCATTTAGATTTGAACACTATCGCGTTTCCCGCACTCAAAAGTGGATCTCAGTCGCTTACGAGAACAAATATCCCATTAATCAACTGAAATTCATATTGTATGTGTGTGTTTGTTCCACTCTCTCTCACTGACAAAATGGCTTCCTATATATATATAGATGGAAAGGTTGATTCGTCTCTAAAGCAAAGAGCAAGAAATGAACGCTCATCATCATAGTCTAATGGTTGTGCCAATGGAAAATACCAATAGACATTTAATGTGGAGATACGATGAGATGACAGATATAAGAGAAAACTCAGAAATTAGGGTTGTGGCGAACGTAAAATACCTCGAGTAGATGGTTTGAACAAAACGGTGGAACTCAACAACCAAGATCAAGAATCTATAGCCTTCTAAAAGTTTGACCAGATATGAGTGGACTTAAGTGCTGGACTCCTGAATAATCGGGCCGCAAGGCAATTTGGATTATTGTTTGGGCCCAAAACCAAAAAGGTTTTTTTAGTCAAATTTGTTGGCGCGGTCAACGAGAAGGAAAATGCGCCACACCTTCATAAGAAAACGTGGCAAATGGCATCTCACAAGAAAAATATTTCCTAATTAAAGGCGTGGAATAATTACAATTTAATATTTATAATATATACTTGTAAAATATGACTATATGGCCCTACTTTGTCCTCCTTTTTTCCTAGTAATATAAAACTTTTTGAAACAATTCATATAACTTGAAGATTTGTCAAAAAGTTAGATGAGTAAATTTAATGATTAGTGCGTTGGTGATAAATCACTTCCAAAAAAATTCAACAAATTTGAATTTCTTTTCTTTTTCTAAATTAATATTAAAAATTAATTGTGCTGAAAAAGTGAGGTTTGACTAGTGTAGGCCAAGAAGTAGACCCTTTGTCAATTTATGTTGTTATTAAAGCAACGCTTGACAAATTTTATTTGGTGATCGTTGGTAAAAAAATTTCGAATTTCAGTTAATTATCACATGTATATTTGTTCCAGCCGTTAGGCTATCTCTTATAAAACTTGTACGCTAAAGCCCATTTGATTTATAAAATATGAATTTACAATCTAATAATAATTATACAATTGGATTAGAGGAGGTGCATGCATAAATTTACAATAAATCAAGATAAGAGTTCATTTTTGTCTTCATAATTATGTATTGACCAAAAAATATTGAATTAGCCAAACATCAACTACAAAATATGTAACTATTTAATTTATTATGATTTATTTCATCAACCAAACTAGACATCAATATATTATGCACTCAATAAAGCATGATGGCCCAAAATAGTATTCACAAATATATAAAATCAAGCCCGTACAAAATTTGAAGGCCCAAAATAACATAAAGATAATTAAAGAAAAATAAAAACGTAACTAAATTAGGCAAATGCTGAAAATTGCAAAAATTAGGAAGAACAAATATTCCATCTAGACCTATTGGCTACAAAATAGAAATTCCATTAAACCTTTATTATAATTTCATATATAATATTAAACTTCTTGTAGTAATTTATTTATAAATACTAATAAAAAAATAGAGTAAATTACGATCGCCTTGAGGTAACGTCAAATCACGAAAAAATCCCTCATTTTTTGGTAATTACAACCAGTCCTAAACTATGAGTCTTCTTACACGTCCACTTTTATGGTATAAAATTCCACATAGTCTTATAGATTTCGTGTAATGTTCTATAGTTTGTACTCGTTTTGTGCAAAATTACAGTTTCTGATGCACCAGAATCTGATATTACAAGCCAAGTGACACATCTTATGATCATCTTGTTTTAAAATATGGAGCTGGAATGGAGTTAAACCGATACAAACTGGAGCATATGCCATATAATCTAGAAGATTCCACTAAATTTGACACCGCATGATGAACATCTAAGAAGATTCATAGTTCAGGAGAGTGGTTGTAATTTAACCTTATCTTAGGGGGTGAACCGTAATTTTACTCTAAAAAATATACAATATTGTCCTCTAAAAAAATTGTCTCCACACTTACCATAGTAAAACATCGGTCAAAAGTCAACATCCAATCAGTGAATTTTAAGAAATTAATAAAAAAAGAAAAAAAAAAGAAAAAGGGAAAAAGGAAAAAAAAAAAAAGCCAACCCTATATGAAAGCTCGCACTCAATTGCAGCTAAAACAAACAGCCCACTCTCTCTTTTTCAGTCGCTCTTCTCTGGTACGTTATACATCACTCTTTATCATCTTCTCTTTTACTCATTTATTTTTTCAATTTTTTTTTTTTTGCATAATTAAAATGTACGCGCGGTTAATGTGTGCGTGCTCGCGTGTGTGTGTGTTTTTACTCTGGTTACGCATCGTAATTGTTTAATCATTTGATGCTAGTTTGATTGGTGTATTTGGTGAATTCTGTTAACGAGGCTTGAAAAATCAGTGGTTGAAACAGTTATTTATTTGGATTTGATTTTTTTGCGAAGTGATTAATTAATGTGCGTTTATCGTGCAGTTACTTTTTCTTAATTTGATCATTAAAAATTTGCTGCTGGTGCGAATGTATGTTGGTTTTTTCTGTTTTTATGCTATTTTTGATTAATTATGAGCTAATTTTGATTTGTGGAAATGAATAATTTGGAATCTGTAGTTACTTTTTTTTCCGGAATTCTAAGTGAAATCCGAACTTTTGCAGATGATTTCGCATCTCGATTGTAATTTGAAGAATAGGAGAATCCTTATATCAAACAGTGTTTGTATTGAATTCTACATAAATGTTTTGTTGCCTATTTCTGTCTGCAGAATTACTGAAATGTCAATTAAATTACTTATTATGTATGTCGGTTTAGCAGAATCATTTTGTTTGTCTAAATTGTATTGCATTACCTATGTGTGTATGTGCTACACATGCCAATTCATTAATATTCGTCTTACTTCTGCATTTGTGGCCTAACTTTTTTTTTTTTCCTTTTTTTCCGTCACGTTTTGCGATTGTGTCGTGTCGCTGGTTGATGATTATTGACTCAGATGGATCAGGTAAATATACTCATCCAACTGTTACAATGGTCTATTTGTTTATGCTTGTAATGAATTGTGATGTTTGCAGTATGAAAAAGTTGAGAAGATTGGTGAGGGAACATACGGAGTGGTTTACAAAGCTCGTGACCGAGTAACAAATGAAACTATTGCTCTCAAGAAAATCCGGCTAGAGCAGGAAGATGAGGGGGTGCCAAGTACAGCTATCAGAGAGATTTCTCTTTTGAAAGAGATGCAACACGGGAATATCGTAAGGTATTGTTCAATGCAATCAGAACACTTGATGTTATTTTGACAATGTTTCATTATGGGGAATTTGATTAAAGAACTAGTGTTAATTTTCAGACATAGTAATTATTATGTCTTATATCTAGGACATGTTCATTTTTAATAATCGACATCTGGTCATAGGTTGCAGGATGTGGTGCACAGTGAGAAGCGCTTGTATCTGGTATTTGAATATCTGGATTTGGATTTGAAAAAACACATGGATTCTTGCCCAGAATTCTCCAAGGATCCTCGTCTGGTTAAAGTACGTCACCTATCTCTGCTCTGTGAAGGTCTGTGAACTTTATTCATATCGATTATTATGTTTGTTGTGTTGGGTAGAGAGATTTATGCTTTTTGAGTTAATTTGTCTTCTTTTTGGACCGCGTAAGTCGAGTGATTGCATTTATCGGTGTTCAAATTTAAGCTGCATGATACTGAGGTGTTTGGTGGGATTCTTGTATCGAGACTATGAAGAAGAAAATTCGTCTTAAGAAATTGAGATTATGCAAATATAAGTTAGCTTTTAGAAGAAAAGTAAATCGTGTAAGAGTGCTGATAAAATACCAGAGCTGCGAGGAAACGAAAATTAGTCTCTTGAGCTGTAAATCAATGTTTCCATTGAGCCAATCTCCAACTTTTTGCAGACGTTTCTATGTCAAATACTCCGTGGCATCGCCTATTGCCATTCTCATAGAGTCCTTCATCGAGACTTGAAGCCTCAAAACTTACTCATAGATCGCCGTACAAATGCATTAAAGCTCGCAGACTTTGGATTGGCTAGAGCATTCGGCATTCCTGTCAGGACATTTACGCATGAGGTAAATAAATGTTATGGGAATTTGAACACTCTTAACAATGGCAGGCTGTTGGCTATCATACTTCATTGAATAAATTTTGTTTGCACTTCCGTATTCTAGCTAGTGTTTTATAAATGCTTCTACAAGTTCAAGAAAATACCTCTAGTTTACGACTGGAATCTGATCTTTTTGAAACAATTTTTTAACTCAATCACTACATTTTTATATCTTCTATAGGTTGTGACACTATGGTACAGAGCTCCGGAAATACTACTCGGATCACGCCATTATTCTACTCCAGTTGATATATGGTCAGTTGGTTGTATATTTGCCGAAATGGTAACACAGAAACCATTATTTCCGGGCGACTCTGAGATAGATGAACTCTTCAAAATCTTTAGGTGATACATCTGATTGAACACGATTTCCCTTGATTTAAATCCTGATATCACATTACGACTCTTTGCTTATCATTTGAATAAATCGACTTTGTTTTCATTTGCTCATTCAAGGCATTGAATCCTGTTATCCAAACAAAACACTACAATTCCTATCGTAACATTCATATCATTTGCTTCCAAAAACTCGATTTCATTTGTTAAACAACTTTGTTTTCGTTTTTCTTTTGGCATTGAAGAGTCATGGGCACGCCAAATGAAGATATATGGCCTGGAGTGACATCTCTGCCTGATTTTAAATCGGCATTTCCAAAATGGCCACCTAAGGTGATTGGAACGGGAATTAATTTCCGATTCTTCTCTTTCTTAGTTTATTCTATAATCATTTATGATATATAATTCGAATTGTCATCTTTATTTTGCAGGAGCTCAGAAGTGTGGTTCCGAATCTTGATGCAGCTGGACTTGACCTCCTTGGTGTAAGTCTGTTTTTTTTTGGTTTAATTTGAGGATGTCTGATAGAAGTTCGAAACTAAATAATCCTAAAAATTGGCTTTATGACCCTTTACCTAGAATTACTGAATTACTCATTTGACCTCTCGTGGTTTCTGCCTCGCATTTTTTCGAGGTGATATATTTTTGTCAGCAATAGTGTGGTGATATATTTAAGACTGATGTATTTTACACTTCACTTACTAAAGAAACTATGAGAAAGAGATTTGATTCCCAGGTGATTGATATTTTTTTTTCTTTCTGTTTAAACTCTTGCAGAAAATGCTCTGTTTAGATCCGAGCAAAAGAGTTACTGCCAGAACTGCTCTTGAGCACGAATACTTTAAGGATATCGGGTTCGTTCCCTGATTGTTTCCCCTAATGCTGGTGCAAATGTATATTGATATGTGGCGATGAAAATACATTATAATATTATATGCGAGAAATGTTGTCTCCGTTTTTTGATTCCTTTGCTGTTATTAAAATATATATAGAAGTGATACTTGGCACAAGCAACTTGTGCAGCAACTTTGGAATTCTATGTTGCTTGTGCTCTTCACTTGCCCATATTCCCGTTTTTCGTGATCGTTTCAATTTTTCCCTATTCTTCTTCGTCCTTTTTTTACCCCTTGCTTATGTAAGACAATTATAGCTTTTGTTTGCCTTATCGTACATTATCATGGTGTGCCATTAAGCCAATGTGTTTATGTATATTTTTCGGTCAAAACTTTTTATTATTATATTGGCTTTACTGGAAGAATAGTTAACTAACATGTGATTGTTTTGAACGTCTCATTGCAAAGCTTGCAATTTTTTGTATTTTTTTTCGTATCTTTGTCGTCTTTGTTGTTGGTTTCATAGAAGTTTAAATGTAGAAAATGCTCTGTCAATCTAAAAGATTTGAATATTCATTATCATAACTCATTCAAAGGTTGCTCACACACACACACGCGGAGGGAAAAGAAAAAAGGCATCCAATGTACAAACAATTTATGCAAGTTCTAAACAATCATCCCATAAAATTTTCAGCTCAAATGTGCAAAGTCAACCGCAACTGTACGTACACATAGATCAACACGACTCCCAGAACCAGGGAACAGTTCTAAAAATTAGATCTGTTGAATTAGACATTGATGAATTAATCACATATTAATTTATATGATATCAACAGATAACCAAAATTTTAGGCCATGAATAAACACTAAATGAAAATGCAACCCCATTTGGAGGAATCGAATAAAGAGCATGTAAACACGTTGTTCCCACTATACTTACCTTTTTTTCTCATCAAAGATGATCTCATTAATATAAGCCATAGAAGTGAAAGCGAATCCGACTCCCATATTAATCACCTTTTTGAAACTCATCTCCGTAAAAATCCCATTGCTTGATAGAGATTATTGACAGTAACATCTGCTATGGAGGAAGCTTTAGTAGCACCATCGGCCAAAATGTTGTCCAAGTAACTGGTATCGGACATAATTTCTGCGTAACGAACCTGTAAAAGTGGCCACATTCAATAATTGAAGGCACTGGTCTGGGATAAATATATTGACTACATGGGATACTGCATTTCTGTGATGGTTTAATATGGTTTTATCTGCGAAAAGGAAATCATTAAATTCTCCTATTGCCTAAAAGGGGTACTAATTGTCAAACGTTACAGCCTTCAAAAGGGGGTGGTAAAAGATGCATCTATAACCAAACGAAATATGACTTTTGCATTCGAGATTCAAAATTGTTGGTAAGAGTTTGTTTGTGTCTGAATTGTTACACCATTTTCTTTTCTTTTTTTTCTTTTTTTAGCTATTAGTAGTTTACTACTTACACGTGAATAGAGTAACATAGAGTTAACTTTGAAAAAAAAATATTCAATTTCAATGATTCTTTTAGTACGTAAATATGGATATTAAAGACGTTAAATCTGCAAGTGAAACCTGGATGGGATGAAGATGATCAACTAAAGCATCGGTAATCAGAGGTTTGAATGCTCCCCAATTCATATCTCCGCATTCTTCCACAACTTCCTGCAACAATATCTCTTAATAAGATACCACAATCAAGCTCTCTTTGTAGATGTAAAACATTGCGAGGAAGTTGTTTCAGATTAAACTTTCAACAAATTGCAGTTAGACTAGAAAAGCAAGTTAACAAGGTGGCATTGTGGTGATACTTTATCAAGTAAACCCACGACATTTTCAATACAAACATTGGTGTGATTTAAACCCACATAGGAAGATAAAATTTGGCCGATTTGCAATAGTCTGTTTATTACCTAATCTATATGCAATAGTTTCATACTTCGTGTCACATTCTGAATTTTTTACTTTTTTTTTTTTAATTATGTAACAACAGAATTGTCATATACAACTTATCCATAGGTTTACCCTCATGGGAACACTATTATAAATCTCGTTTATCTCATTGGCATAGAACTTCCACCTAACACTTACATTAAACTAATTATGCTAACTTGGCATTAATGAGAAACAAAAAGCTAAGCAGAGTTCATAAGCAAATGAATTTGTAGAAACATTTGAATATCGCTGCATAGTTTTCATTAAATACCTGTTTTGTCTTGCTGGTAATGAGCTGATATATTGAAAGAAGGTTGTTACATTCAGGTCTTTCAGGATTATCGAATTCCAAGCTGCATAATTTCAAAACAACGATGCAAGATGTTTAAAGCTGAAGGAGTAATCTTAGTTACACAAAAATAAAGAAATAAAAGAAATATAATACGATGCACGACAAGCTTCAAAAAAAAGAGAATATGCGGATAGGTCTAACCCTGGAAAAGAATCAGTCTTGCAACGCTTTATTTTGTTGGCAATGACCTGAAAAACCAGCAAAGAAGAGTTGGGAGAAAGAAAAGAAAAGTTTCTGATATACTTCTTTCATAACTCTTCTAAATTTCAGCTCTGAACAATATACAAAAATAGTGTACTATCATCACATGGGGGTGGAGAAGTTTGGGTTTCCAAATTGTGAAATCGAGTCCCCAGAGACTTATATAATAATTTCTCTTAGATTAAAAAAAAATAAGTTGCAACAGAGGAGATATGGATATCATTGCTACGAATGATGTTCGTCTGCAATCTCTAACTTCAATGGTAAATAAGAAAACTCCATACTGGTCCACCCTCTTTTCCCCATATTTCGGTTTTCAGTTAACTAGCATCTCTACAAAACGAGCTCAGTAGATACTTGCATTAAAAATGACAGTCTCGACTAAAAGGTATTGTTGTTTTCTTACTAAGACTACAGCAAAAAAAACAAGCAAATAAATAAATAAAATCATAAGCTAAAGACTAAGACATAAATATAAGTAGAAATGGTTGTACTCACGTCTTTTGAGTCAAGCAAATTGATACGAGACTGATCAGATGGTGCCGATTTTGACATCTAGATACATATATCAAAATATGGTACGAGTCAGGACTATGAAAAGGTGATATGTCTAGCAACAATTTAAAGTGAAAAAAACAAATCTCTGCATCAATAAGTAGTTAATCACTTTACAGCAAAAAGGACCTCATATCTTGCAACATAATTTCTTCTAAGGCATGAAGATATTAAAACTATTAACCTTGGAAAGACCATCAGTAAGGGACATCACACGAGCTCCAGTAGGTGGAATAAGGGGTTCAGGAACCTACATCCATCAGAAAAGCATAAGAAAATCTAATTTCCAACTGGACATGTGACTTGAAATGTATTTCATAACAAATCAATGAACGAAAAGCACCTTAAAAATAGCTCCACCTCGCCTACGGTCGAAAAAAATTGATTAGATAAATCATTTAGTTTTCCTAATGCGCAAGTGGAATACAGAGAATAACAGAAAAAATATCGGAGCGGAATGTTAATATTACAGACGAGAAACAAAAAGTTCAGTGCTCATAAATTTATAATGTGCCTTACCCTCCCAGCTTCTTCCACTTCCTTCCACCGTATAAATAGTTAACACGGTTAGCTAATTCTCGAGTCAGCTCCAGGTGTTGCTTCTGATCCTCACCAACAGGGACAAAATCAGACTGCACGGAAATACTACACTTGCTGAGAATAATGAATATTCAGGCAATATAGTCACAATCATATTAGAGAAAGAAAGTATTTCTTGGCAAGCATAGGCATAACCAGATAAACAAACAAACGAAGGGAAAGACTCAATCCTTTCCTAACCAATGGACATATATTGCACAAAAATTGAACAGATGCCTACGTTTTAAAGGCTTATAAGAAGTGCATGCTGTAGAGGGAGCTGCGGTAAATAGAGATAAAAGATAGTTTACCTGATATAAGAGGATATCAGAAGCCATCAGCACTGGATAGGTTAGAAGTGCAACTCCGACATTTTCATCCCCCTGCAAGCTAGAAAGTAAAATATTTAGGAATATATCATTAAAATATTGATATAGAAGACTGTTAAGGTTGTAGTTTCTTCTTCATGAACTATGATTTGAGTGTTTATTTCCTTACTTCACAGTGCTGAAACAATGTCTGATATAAACAAAAATAATATAAGATAAACACAATAAGGGCTCTTTTGGTTTTAAGGCGATGGGTTGATAGCTTATTTTGTCCCGATGTAGTGTTTGGTTTAGGGAACTGAAGTCTGGTATTGAATATTGATTAATATCCCGAAACTGAATCCGGCATTCAATTAATACAGGTTCCAGCCCAAATACCGGTATTAGTTAGATGATTGTCCACCCCACCTCACCCCCACCCCCACCCCCCGAACCACATACAGGCACAAATAAGAAATGAAGCAAAAAAAATCAGTCTGGACAATCTATATTGAACCCAAGGCATTAAGTTACATCAACATGATCATCATAGCTAATCTGAAAACAAATGTTTATTTCCCCTTTTTGGGTATATGAGAACATGAGAAACAAGAGAATGATTGATAAGATACAGCATAAAACTCACAGCCTTTCGTGATTTCTCTTTAAACTGAATCATCTTATTTAGCCATCCAATTGGGGTCGCAGAGCTCAGCAGCCACATCAATTCTACATGAGCACGGACATGAGACTGCACAAAAACTGAGGCCTGTAGTTGGAAAATTAGACATAGAGTTGTGAATAGGGATCTAAAAGTACATGACCAGCCAAAGCACGTAATAACACGAGGAAATGGTAGACCTTGGAAGTGTCCACACCACATGCCAAATATAGAGCTGCAGTATCTTTTGTCGCTTTTGATAATTGCTGTGTTTCATATGGCAACGTAATCTGCAAGATACAAGTAAGAGTAGTCTACATTAGAAAGTAAATTAACTTCACTAAGTAGGCTGAAACTCAGTGAAAAAAATAAGCCTTTAACCTCATGTTAAATCCACAACAAGTTCATCACATTCTTAGCAAGCGTCACATTCTTATCTAAATTGTGAACATTGAGAACTGGAGATCATAATTGATATGATATAGGAAGTATAACATCCAAATCATAAAGGAAAATGCAGCAGTTACTGTGACAATGACAATCCAAGAAACAAGAACAAAATGCAACTTAATAGCACAAGGTATAAGTCAAAAATCAGAGCATACCGCATGAAGATCCACAATGAAGAAGAGTGTCTCGTATGTATTCTGCAAGGAGAAAATATGTGGTGAAACAATAGCCCGGACGATTTTTTTTATGCAGTATGACAATTAAATACAAATTGTATTTTACGATCAGTAATGTGACAGATTTTTTTTAAAAGACCACAAATGTAGTAACCTTGTACCTGAAAAGCATACTTGAACAGATGTTACTGTTACGCACTGAATATGTGATATCTGATTGGATAGGGAGGAGCTCGTGCATTATGTATGCACACTCATATGAGAGCATGCTCACTCACCCTCACATATGTAATGGGATTGCTAAACTATGGATAAGTTTATAACATGCACAACATTTTTCTTTATATATATACAACCACATCATCTTAACTAGGGTCTAGGTGTCGCTTTTACTGTTTAAAAAACTATGGGAAGCTTGTCATCTGTGACGCAACAACACGGTGGTAGAGTCTGCAAGACGTCTCTCCTCCTCTCTTCCCACCAATGACTATTACCACATTTGCAACAAAGACCAATCCATCAAATACAACTAGCTAATATGTAATGTTGGAGCCGTCAAATAGCTCCTCCAAGACTGGACCATTCTTTTGCTCAATAGTGTATATAATATTTAAAAACAAACCTGCAAGTCAACCCAATTTTTTATGGCACCAAGATAATTTCCAAGATGTATGGATCCTGTGGGCTGGACACCAGAGACTATTCTCTTCCTATAAAAGAAGAAACCAAATATTATCAGGTTTTATCAAATAATTTTGATGTAAGTATAAGGCAATGCAATGATGTAATTCCCTTTTTTCCCCTTTAGAAAAACAAAACAAGCATCAATTCTGACATGTATTATTATTATTTAACAAACATAATAACAAGCCGCTTGGCATATGGTTCGTGCATGTGTCATAAACTTCCATAACTATTAAGCAACATACACCGTCATGTAGATGGATTTATCTCTGTCCACTAATTAAGAGTAATAGGATTTTATTGCCAGAATGAGAACAAGCTATTCAGGTTTGGATCAATCTCGGTACCTACAAACAATGCATGGCCTCACACTCGGACATATAGCAGAATACTGACTGTAACATTAAGGAAGCTCGTAAGGCCTACAGCGGGCATTTCAGCCAGTGAAATGGTGAATAGAAGGTCAATGACTGCTAATCAAAATGACTACAAATAAGGCTGTGTTAAATTAAACTTCAACCATCAGATAATTATCACATTTGCTAATCTTCTCCAACTTTCAAACTGAATCGAGATTCCACAAACACCAGGATTCGTCAAAAGCACAAGTCTACAAATATTAATCCAAAAAAATGACAAGCAGTCTTGGCATCAATAAGAATTACTAGTGACTTCGGATCCATACACCGAAACATTTAAAGTAAGTAACTCAAACTCTTCCAAAAATTGCTTCATACCAAACAAAACGTAAGCACAAGCAGATTCTCAAACCAATACACGAAGCCAGTACAAAAAAAAAATTAAATAAATAAATAGATTAATACTTTACGGAGGTAGAGGAAGTCTCAGAAGTGGAAGGTTCGGAAACTGCGACGGTGCAAAGGCAGCGCAAACCATCTCCGATTCTTCGCCGCCGCTGCGGCTGGATTGCTCTCGTTCTATTCCAGCATTTGCTCAGGTGAACACCACTCGGCCTGCTTTGAATTACGGGAAAAAAATGTACCAACGGATTTACAACAACTGTATATAATCCATAAATTGAAGCAACAAAATTAAAAAAAAAAAAAAAAAAAACGTACGAGGAGGAGATTGAGCGGGGAGAAGCATTGGAGAGGATTAAGAAGTGAGAGAGGATTGAGCGCCCCATTACTGTAGCTACCTACTGCTCCGGGTTTTTTTCCCCGGAATTAAAAACACGCTGAGTTTGTAAAGGTGCGTGGGTCCGACGGGCTGACCCGAACCCGTCACGGTATGCATAAACACGGTTAGGGTCAAGCTAGCGGGCCAGTTATATGGGCCACTAGAAGAATAGTAATTGGGCCTGGATCTGTTCCGGGATATTTTCCAAGCTTAATTGATTTGGGCTGTTTGAAGCATATATTGTTGTATTAATAATTAGGGTAATTAGGGTAAATTACAACCACCTCCAAGGTGTGGTCAAATTACGAAAGCCCCCCTCCTATTTGGGTTATTACGACCAATCCCTCAACTATAAGTCTTGTTACACGTTCACCCTTGCAGTTTCAAATTTAGTGAAATCTTCTAGATTATATGAAATATTATCACTTTTGTACCCGTTTTGTCCCATTTGAGCTCCACATTTTGAAGCAAGATGATCATAAGATTGTGTTTTTTGGCTTGTATATATCAGATTGTGGTGCAACAAACATTATATTTATACACAAAACGAGTACAAACTATAGTACATTTCACAAAATCTAGATGATTATGTTGAATTTGACATCATAAATGTGGAGGTGTAAGAAGATTCATAGTTGAGGGGTGGATGTAATTATTCAAACAAGAAAGGTTTTTTCATAATTTGACCATATTTCAGGGGTTGTTGTAATTTACCCTTTTTAATAATTATTTAAAAACTATTATAGATAGTTTTTTTAAAACAAATAAATAATACTAAGGTAATAGATGATCTAGGTGATGGAGTACGAACTATGGAGTCAAACGACTCGATTTCGATCTCATTTATCAATTTACGAATCTTGTTTGTCTAATTCACCTCACCAAACCAGTAAGCCAATGGATTCTAAATTCATTGACAATTTTGGATAAATTGAGTTAGCTAAGTTATAATCGAGTCTAGAGATTTAAATAAGTTGATTCTAGTAATTTTAAATTGGTTGATTGATTTGGTTTGAATCAATTGAGTCCGCTGATTCGCAAACTCAATCGAGAAATTAGATTATCAATTGAATTGGGCCAAACGAATGAACTTGATTGTGTTGTTTGAGGGTATTTTGTGAAAATCTGTGGAGCAAAGAATTAACTATATAAAAGAATATTGAGCATTTTTTTTTAATATTGAATACATTCATATTAAATGATATAGTTTACTATCGTCTAGCTAATAAAATATTTATACAATACAACCCCTTTGAAAGTACCAATAGAAAATAAAAATCGGAATAAATAATTAAATATTGCCGAAAATGTGCTTAAAAATACTAAAAGAAAAAAAAAATGGTAATAAATAATTAAATGTCGACGAAAATGTGCAGATGACGAAATGTTCATATGACGTGTCTATTAAATTGGACACGTTTACTTCTCTGCTGGCAGAGAAAAACGTTTTATTCTTCGGTGCGAGGAGCGCCATTGTTGTAGTGCAGAGCGGCAGCACACTGCAATTTCCCGCACTTTCGCTGCTAATTCTTCCGCGCGATAAAACCCAAAAATTCACCCGAGAAATCGAAATTAGGGCAACGATAATCGAAATGGAAGACGAACCGATTACAGAACACGAAAGGTTACAGATCGAGCAGATTATGGAGCTGGAAGCTGAGGAATTAGAAGTCGAAGAAGTAGACGACGATGATTTGTCGGATGATGATGAGTAAGTGCGGCACTGGTTTTCAGTATTTCTAATTTTTCTTTCTCAATTTCATTTCTCCCTTTTTTTCGGTGGTCAGTTTCGAAGGATTGAGGTATGGATGTTGTAATTGAATTAAATTGTTGTTTTGCTAATTGGTAGTCGAAATTAGGGTTTCTGACCGCTCCAATTGTAGTTACATTAGTTGAGCCTGTTAAATTTGAAGAAATCATTTTTTTTACACAGACACGCATTATTAATTATTTATTTATTTTTGGCAAAATGAATGTAATTAGTGGGCAATCAGTGTTGCATGGGCATGCATAAACTCGAAATAGGAAAGAGGCAAATTGAAAAACCGAAGGATCATGGTTAATGTAGTTGTTACTGTCGTTTTCATCTGTAGTTAGCAACTAATTTGAGGTTTTCATTGAATTCATGTGTAGACCTAGTTGAAGTAGATTGTCATGAAAAAATTATCGGTGTTCGATTTGTCGATTAACATTCATGTTGGCATGCAGAAAAATGTAATTTTCTCTTGATGAGTTTTGTTTTATATATGTATCTATATCTATACATTTTGAGTTGACTAAATCCTGATTGTTTTGTTGGATTCCATTAGTTACCGCGGTTCTGCAGGAACTTCAGCATCTGGGGACTATACATACGACACCTCCTTAGTTGCCTTGCATTCGTATCTTGGTGGTAGGCAACTTTGTGCATAATTTCTGTTCCGTTTTGTATTTTGAAATATTTTTGTTCGAAAATAAATAATGAGATGCTGAAACATTTAACAATCATCCATGGGTATCAGATGTTGAAGACACTCACAATAGGCTGGCGTCTTTGGATGGTGGTGCTGTATTGACCCTTCCTCTGTTTTATCTAGAAGGTACTTTGCCTTCAATGCCTAGATGAACAGTTTCATTACCAGTGTTGTAATTTTGTTGATTAGCTTACTAATATCTTTCAGTGTTCAAAGCATCCAAGAAACTTTTAGGGCTTCATAATTTCTCTTTACTTTCTTCGAAAGTGACATGGTATCTGACAGTGTTCTCCTTCACGGAATATCAATGTACACTTGCAAGATTTTTATAGCAGAAATGAAACATCATGTTACTTTAGTCATTCAGAAACTTTTTTACATTCCTCAATTAATACTCTCTCTCATACACACACACATATACATCCTCTGTGAACTAGCTTGATGGAAATTGAGGGGATAACTGCTTATAGTTCTGAACCTCAAGAGAGTAAAGTGAGGCCTACTGCGTTTAAAATTATGTGCAAACTAATTATTATTTTGTTAAATAAGTGTACAATTGTGTACCGGAAAATGAAAAGTTGATTTGTATTGTTATCCTAGGTCAATTCCGTTCCATTCTAACAAGCCTGTGAGCATACCATGGTAATAGAACAATGAATACACAGTGTACTTTCGGGTTTTGGTTTATATTGTTTTCACCTCTTTACAGGAGTTGTTCTATTCCCTGAGGCAACACTTCCTCTTAGAGTGATTTTTCCGAATTTTATTGCTGGTGTTGAGAGAGCAATGAGACAAGTCGATGCTCCTTATACAATTGGTGTGGTATGTGCAGTCTATGCTTGCTACACATAAATTCTATTTTCTTTGATTATACTTCATTGGTATTGTTCTTGTGTTGGCCACTCTTTTCAGGTTCGTGTTTACAGGGATCCTAACAATGGCAGAATAAAGTTTTCAACAACCGGCACTACTGCTGAGGTAACCCTTCTTTTAGCTTCTTATTTCGTAAACTGTGTTTTTGGCGATGGCATAATGTCATTAACACCATTCACATTCATAGAACTTTACAGGCAGTGGTGTTCTATTTTGTGACCTTAAGATATTTTGCAGTTCTATTACCTTAAGAAGTAATATTCTGTTGTATGTCCACATATGGCTTCTGTTTATTTTTCCGAATACTTGGAATCTAGTATAACGTGTCGTTTTGATTACATTTTTCCCTCTCCTGGTATTGAACTAAAGATATCAACGACGCCTATTTTTTTTCAAGATCTCTCTCAACTGTGGGCTTTTTCTATTTCATAACTGATCTAAAACTCCCTATTTAGTATGTTGAATTGATGACACACACAGAGTACGAGACCTTGAGAGCTATTTTTATTCGTCGATTGTGATAGGTGAATATTTTTCTTACTATCTTTATGGCAGATTCGGCAATATAAGAGGCAGGACGATGGTTCAGTAAATATTCTCGCTCGTGGACAGCAGCGATTTCGCCTGAGGCGCCGTTGGATTGATGTAGAAGGATCAGTAAGTAATAAAAAAAAAACCGTATGAAGTGTTACATGTTTGTTTTCTTGCTAATAAGTTTCTATTACGGTTGCTTCTTCCAAATAGCTATGTGGAGAAGTTCACATCATTCAAGAAGATATCCCTCTAAGAACACCTCGAGATGTTTGTGGTAAAGTGGTTCCACTAAGAAACTCTCAAGCTAGTAGAATCGTGCAATTGACCCCTGTAAATGATTCGGATGTGATGTCTGACGGAAGTTTTGAGAGTAAACTTTCGTTAACAGAAAGAAGGCTACACCAGTACGCTCTTGCCTCATCCCGCACGTCAGATGTATACGACGAGTCGATAAGTAGCGATGATGAGAAATTTGAGCGGAACTTTGACTATCAATCTGAAAGGTCAACAAGTTCAGAATTCATTAGAAAGAATGGCGATGACAGTCCTATAATTGGAAAGAGGCCCTTCTCTAACAAGGTAGGATGGGGAAGAAGGCACTCCATGAGTCAGCTTCGTGATGTACCTAGAGCCTTCTGGCCCAATTGGGTCTACCGCATGTACGATTCATATTCACTTGCTAGGAAGTTAGCAGGTAAAATGACTTCCTTTTAATCTATTTTGCAGTTCTGCTTATGCATGTAATTATCATGTGTAGGAAACAGCAGTGATGAATAGAAGTAATCTTTATTCTGATTTCAAAATCTTTAAATCACATAGTTTTCTATTGTGCATCTTAGTTTACTTTTATTTAAATCAGGTAGTTAGTAGGTAAGTGTCTGTAGAAGTTCGAATTGGATAGATGAAAACACCAAATTTAGTTTGACAGTTTTTTTTTTTTTAATTGTAATATTGCAGATAGGTGGAAACAGGTGGTTAAAGCACCAAGCATGGATAGCCTTGTGATGAAACCGGATCTTCTTTCATTTCATATAGCAAGTAAAATGCCGATATCGGAATCGGCGAGGCAAGAACTATTGGAAATTGATGGAACATCTTATAGACTGCGCAGAGAAATTGAGTTGCTTGAAAGTTTTGACAAAATGCGTTGTAAAACTTGTCAGGTAATACAGCATGCCATGGCCAAGCAAAGTGTTCATGTTTTTATTCATAAATTCTTTTATTTCCATTGTGTGTTTTGTATTGAACACAATGGAACTCCGAGATTGTGTGCAATTATTTTTTCAAGTGTAAACATCATAGGCATAAAACCTCATGGTTTCAACTTTCTTGACTGTGCCAATTCAGTTAAAAGAAAGGCAAACATTGATGGTTCGTGTGGGAGTATGTATTAAATATCATTTTTCTACTTGTTAGTTTATACGATGATGACAGATTGTTTATTTGCTATTCGTAATAGACTCTGGTGGCAAAGAGAAGCGACATGTTAGTGATGTCCAGTGATGGTCCGCTTGGTGCTTATGCTAATCCACACGGTTTTGTGCACGAGGTAATGACTCTCATTAAAACAAATGGAATCGCAGTTGCAGGGCGTCCGGTTAAGGAGTTCAGCTGGTTTCCCGGGTAAAATTCCATTACTTTTGATGCTTTAATCGTCACCTAATTTAGTGTGCGCGTGCGTGCTAGTTTATTCTGTTATCAATTTCATGTGCAGTGCAATTGTTTCAAGTAACTCGACTATGATTAGACTAATTATTAACTCTGCATGGTGTTAAAAATAACGTGTATGTGTGCAGATATGCATGGTCAATTGCTGAATGTATAGCGTGTGGGATGCAAATGGGCTGGTACTTTTCTGCCACACATAAGAAAATGAGGCCACAGGCCTTTTGGGGCATTAGGAGTTCCCAAGTTGTCGACGAGACTCTCTGAACCACAGGTATTTTCCTGGTGTAGTTCATGAATTCTACCGCTTTGCACTTTGGCTCTAAGGATTTATTTATTATTATTATTTATTTTTTTTCAGTTTTTTTTTTTTTTATATATATACATGTAATAAATCCTGAATGAAAGAGTATGGTAAAAATTGAAGGTTGTTGTGGCTTATTTATTATTTATTTATTATTATTTTAAAATGGCTGCAATTTTATGGTATTAGTTTATTCAGAATTTAGTATTTGGTTGAGCTGTCATTTGTCTTCAATTGTTTTACATTAATACTGTCATTTAGTTTTCTTAGAGGGTGTTTGGCTAAGCTTATAGGCTCTTAAAAGAGCTTACAAGACGTTTAAGAGTTTATAAACTCTTTCGAAGTGTTTGTTAATTTTTTTAAACAAGAGCTTATTAGTTATTAAGTACTTATCCACTATTTAAAATAAGGTTAGCCAAACGGACTCTCAATTCATTGAAACTGCTAAATATAGCATTTATAAAAAAAATTAAGAGAAAAACATGCTGAGTAAAATTCAACAAAAAATGACCGCGAAAACTACCACCGGTCACTATAGGAAGTCCTACTACATTGCAACTCAATCTATGTCTTCTGAACCAAAACTATAAAAACTGGCCTATGGGTTTCATGTGAACAAACATTTAATAACCAAAAAATAAAACGAAACTAGCTCAAGTAATTAATTGAATAATTCCCCCAGTTGATATGCGATACTTCCTGTGGATTGGAGTGTACATGCAACTCTCCGCATATCCATCCGCGCGTGTGGGGAATACTTGATGGAGGTTGATGTATTTGCATCAAGGGTGCACAACATACATGTAAAAAAGACAGTAAATTCGAGTGAAATCGAGAATCGTTGAGTAATCATATATAATTTTGTAGTTATTATTGTATGTATGTATATGAAAATTACTTAACGTGTTGTGTGTATACTAATTACATCAAAGATACCGTCGTCAAAGTCATAATTTATGTGTTTGGAGGAAAGGATTGGAATTTGGATTGTCGAGTTCTAGTAATTTTGTTTTTTTCACTTCATTCTCCGAATTATTTTCGCTTATGGCAAATCAATTTTTCGTCGAGTTCTATTAATTCTCTCTTCTTTTTTTTCTGTTGCTGCAGTGCAGATTTTAGCTGGCATTGCTTGCTCGGTAGTAGTTTTGGCTCTTCCCCTGTGGAGAATAGGTACTCTCAAACAGATACCAAATCCTCTAGTCGAACATCTCGACTCGATTAGAAGATTACTTAAAAATTACGAAGATTTTAATCGTAATTGTACTGCTTTAAATCTTCTAGAAACTTCGTTTGCAGAGTAAGAGAGAACAAAACGTTTTTTTGGGTTAATAATTGTTGTAGAAACAAGGTTGGAAGATCGAGCGGTAGCATAAGAGAAGCTCGCTCGATTTTCCAAACAAGAAACTTGACTCTATTCTAATGTAGGTACTATCCAAAGCGGAAGCAACACGTCTTTTGGTATCTCAGAGCTAAAGCCAAGGGCTTCAGAAACCCGATCGGCCAAGTTATACACGCACAAATCTATCCAAACCTCCCCAACCCGCCATCTTTTGCATGTTGTCCGCTACAAAGTAAACGCTATTGCTTCTGCAGTTGAAGCGCTCGGGCCCACAAACCACCACACATCCACTCTTGTCGACGAAAATCGAGCGGTTCCCCAAGTCCCTCACCTCAACCCACTGCTTATTAATAAAATCAAGAGCGTAGACGAAAAAGTGTACTGACCCAACGGGAAATCCACAACGATTGCTATCTTGCTGCGTGTAAACTGTCAAAATATCTCCACGAGATTCTACCAACATTAAATGATTGAATTTCCCCTTTCTAAGTGCAAATTTGACATTTTCAGGTGGGGTTGGGTCGTCGAAATCAAAGCTGCTAGGCTGTCGATATCAAACACCGATAGAGATCCCGCTTTGCAAAGAGCAAATATTCGATCTTTGCGAAACGCGACACATAAAAACTGATTGAGGGTTGCAGTTTCTTTAACAATCGTCCAAGAAGTATACCCGGGTCGATAAAGGGCCAACCGGTACAAAGGGCCATAAATTATAACAACAAAAGAGCCGCCGCCCTCGTCGTTACGAGGTGGCGGCTGCTGCTTCATAAAGACGAAGACTCTCTTTATGACACGATAACAATACGGGGTTCTGACGTCATTAGGACGGTGCTGTAACGAGGATATCGGAGGAAGACTCGGACAAACACGAGTCAACGGGTTCAGAAGCTGGATCGTGAGATCTAACCCTAGCGTTAAAATCCATCCCGAGCAAGATCCCCACGACTTCCTACCACGAAACTCGGGTATCTCTAACTTGCACACCTTGTTTCTATACAAGCTAATGAAATTTCTAAAACCATTTTTTTCGGGGACAAAGATCATCAACAACGGAACCTGAGGGCGTTGATGCCATTCCTTTGCCGAATAAACCGATCGCCAATCGCAACAAACGGCAGAAAACGCGAGGAAATCTTCAACGGCCACTAAATGTGAGGCGACCTCGTGAACAAGATCGTATGGAAGTTGGGACCAATCTGCCATTGTGGGACCTGTAAATCAAATATAAGTCGTAATATTATTTCCGATCCAAAATCACACACACACACACACACACACACATAAACACACTTTTTGCACACACACACACTTAAACACACTTCTTGGATTTAAATACAATGAAGATTGGGGTTTAATTAATTTGTCCTATGTCTTTTAGATTCAGAAATTGATTTAAATTAATGATTTTGATTTTTTTTTTAGTCTCAGAGTGTTTTAAACGTAAATCTGATAATAATAGATTGTAAATAAGATGACTAACAAATTTACAACAATACAAATGACACTGTTCTACAAAATATCCTTGTAAAAAAATCGCCATAAGCAAGCCTGATTTAACACTACCGAGCCAACAAAAAAAAAAAAAAAAAAAAAACTAAAACAAAATTTATTTCATGTCTGGTGAATTTACTGATAAAGAAGAAAAAGACGGTGAATAATAGAATTACTCTAATGGCGGCCGCGTAAGGCTTGCTAGGCTGGATTTTCTGAACAAAATCTTCGTGCTTCGTTCAACTAAGAAGAAGGCCGAAGATAAAAAACCTGCAATATGTAGTTTCAAGACAACAAAATAGTAATTTACACGAAAAACTATTGAAGTATGTGTGTCCCATGTCTTTTAGAGATTAGAAGTCGATTTTAAAGTTTTTTTTTTTTTTTGTTCTTTTTGAAGTCCGTCGATAATTTTCGACACATAGATGTCGAATTTCTATTAATTTTCAACACCAACTTGTCGAAAAATATATAAAATAAAAATAAAAAATGTAAGTAGAACAAATAGTAAAATTCAACCAAAAAAAGGACCGCGAAAACTACCCTCAATCACCATAGGAAGTCTTACTACATCAAAAGTCGATCTAAATCTTCTGAACCAAGACTATAGAACTGTCCTATGAGCTTTATGTGAACAACATTTATTAACCGAAAAATAAAACGAAACTAGCTCATGAGTAGTTAATTGAATAATTCCCCCAGTTGATCAGCGATACTTTCCGTAGATTGGTGTGTACATGCAACTCTCTGCATACTTGACAAGATCCTCCGGACGAGGCAGACGTGATGCCAGTCCTATAATTTCCAATAATTACGTCAAATCCATGTGCGTACGCGCGTACGTGCGTACGTGCGTGTGTGTGTGTGTGTGTGTGAGAGAGAGAGAGAGAGAGGCCTATGTCTTACCAAGTTCGTATGATTTTGCAGCTACCTTAGCTGCAATATGGGCAGAAATCTTTCTAATATTCGTAAATGGAGGGTATATCAGTCCTTTAGCGTAGTTTTCCTCCGTTACTTGAGCTGCCAAAGCTTCAGCTGCAGATCAAAGATATAAAAGAATCAATGGAATAAAAAGACAGAGCTTTGAATACTAAGAGTGTTTTATGTGTATAATGCATATACTTACAGGCTGCCAAAAGCATATCATCGTGTACGCGTATCGTACCGGACATGATCAAACCCAAACCAAATCCAGGGAATATATAAGCGTTGTTTGCCTGCGTGAAGATAGATATATTAATTAATATTAGGACATAGGACGAAGAAATCAGTTATGTGGCTTCTAGGGGGTATTATAGTCAAATCACCTGTCCCGGCACAAATACTTTCCCGTTATACTCCACGGGATCGAACGGGCTACCGCTAGCAAATATAGCACGTCCCTATAAAAAAATCTTAGTATAAAAAAATTGGCACCAATAGAATAATAAACAAGCAAACCAAGGCTCAAATACCGTTTTTTAGGCATGAAATAGTAAGGCCTCGTTTGGTTAGCAAGATAAACCATGATTAACAAGCGGCCTTATTTTTTTATTTTTAAATAAAAAAAATCAGCCATTATCTTGGTTTACCGGGGAATAGTGTATTCGACTACAGTTAGCCATAATAAGATTGCAGTAATCCTATTTTGGACAATCCCATTACGGCAAACCAAACGAGGCCTAAGAGTATAAACTTTTACGAACTAGTCGGAGAAAAAAGAAAAGTCATTCACCTCACTCCATGTATAAGCTTCTTCGGCAGTACACTCTGATTGAGAGGTTGGGTTCGATAGAGCAAGAATTAGAGGTTTCTGCAAACACCACTCACATTTAGATTTTTTTTTTTTTAAATCGAATGATTTTAGTACTTAATTGATAGATAAAAGGAAGATAATCCGAACCTCGTTCATGGAAGCCATTGCCTCGACAACTTCCTTCGTAAACGTTTGACCAACGCCCGAAGTCCCTATTAGAACTGTCGGCTTAATTGCCTGAAAAATCAATAGCAGTTAATTTATAGTCAGAAATGAGATATTTACGAAAAAGTAAAAATAAAAAATAAAAAATGAATTTCCCACCTTGACTGCAGCCAAGAGTTCCTTGATCGGTTCGTGGTCGTGGGCCCACGGCTTCTTAAAATGCTGAAGCGACTCTTTACGAGAACTCACAATCAGCCCCTATTATCAATATAAAGAAAACTATTAATTAGTGATAAATAACGAGATTAAGGATAAGCATTTTGAATTGGATAATAAGGAATTACACGATAATACGAAGAAAAAAATGATGTATTTTATTTACCTTTGAGTCAACCAGCCAAATTTTCTTCCTCGTCTCTTCCAATGGAGCATTTGTCTACAAAAAGAAAAAAAGGTGGAGTTTTATCGAGCTAGTTATTTAAATTGATGGTTAATTAATTATATCATATATAAGTCTAAATTACCTTTTTGGATATCTCGAGAGCAATAAGTTCAGCTATACCGGTTCCAGCCTATCGGAAACCAAATTTACGAATTAACAGTTATATCTTACGCATGTATAAATCATTCTTCGAGAAAATCGATTGTGAAATAAAACGAGTTTATATACCTCTCCAGCGCCTAAAAATAAGAATGTGTGATCGGCTAAAGTTCCACCAATTAGTTTCAAAGCTGAAACGAGCCCCGAAAGAACGACAGACGCTGTACCCTGATTTTAATATAGGCACAATTTAAATAATAATAATAATAATACGGAAATTAATAATAGTATTAAATAATGTCGTTGTACCTGGATATCGTCGTTGAACACAAGATGAGTTGTTCGGTATTTGGCAAGTAGCTCAAAGGCGTTGTGGTTTGCAAAATCTTCGAACTACGAGAAAATACGAAAAGAAGTTTTTTTCGGTGGAATATAATATTAAATCTTTGAATAATGAGTAATAAATAAAAATGTGAAATGTATATTAACGTACCTGTATTAGGACCTTCTCCCCGTAGTTTTGTTTAACTGCAGACATGAACTCCTCTAGAAGCTCGTAATATTCCTGTAAGAAAATTCGACGATTAAATAAGACTCGATATTTTTATAATCTGATCCGTTTGAAAAAAAACGAGACCTGTCCAGTTGCTCGGTTTTGCTTCAGACCAATGTAGAATTCGTCCTCGAGCAACTTCTTATTATTTGTGCCAACATCAATCGTTATAGGAAGGCACTGTAAAAAATAAAAATATTTATAAAAAAAATATTATAAAAAAATTAAAGAATACTATTTATAGAAAATCGAAAACAGCTATAGTTATATATATACTTACAGCCGAGGGACGAACTCCTCCGAGAGCTGTATATAGAGATAGTTTTCCTACAGGAATTCCCATGCCCTGCAACAGTTGCAATTAAATTTAGTAATTTTTGACCAACTTATTATTGTATCATAACATTATCAGAAAAAAAAAAACTCGTAAAATCACAATTAAAAAGATATATATAATTAAAATATACCTGGCATCCAAGATCTCCGAGCCCCAAAATGCGTTCACCGTCGGTTACCACAATAACTTGAATCGACTTTTCCGGCCAGTTCTTCAATACTTCAAGAATCTTTCCCCTATAGAAAAAATTAAAAAAATTTAATTCCAAATTAAAAAATAAAATAATAAATAATAAATGAAAATGAAGGAAATTCGAATGTAGTACTTCTCTTGTAAGCTGATATATAATCCCTGAGGACGCCTGAAAATACTACCGTATTTCTGACATGCTTCTCCTACCGTGGGAGTATAAACTACAGGAAGAAGTTCTTCGACGTTGTCTATAAGAAGCTTGTAAAATAGCTTCTCGTTTCTCTCCTATATTACAAAAAAAAAAATTAAAAATATTGAAAATAAAAATGTCTAAATTAGCGTATTTTTCGTAGAGGAAAAGTTTACCTGGAGATCCATCATGGCTATATATCTCTGCAGTGGTACTTTATATTCGCGTAAAATGTTCATCAAACGCTTTTCCTGCATTGCGAAATTAGATTAGATGCAAATTAAATTTAAATTAATTTAAATTAAGTACAAATTATAATGAATTTAATTACTTGAAGATCTTGAGAAAACAGTGCTGGAGGAAGAAGCCCCGTCAAGTAATGAGCATCTCTTTCTTTATCGGTGAATGCGAGTCCCTTGTTGTGTCGTGGATCGCGCAGTAACGTGTAACCACTGAATTTAAACAAATATAATTTATAATCAGCAAAAAAAAATTATTTGCAATAAATTTATAATGCGCGTAATTTCGAAGATCAATTCGAGCATCACGAAACAGAGAAATGTAAGTATAACTTTTGTATGTTCCTCCTCTTCATAAAACAAAATGGAACCGGTCGGTTTTACTAAAATATCGGATCATTTAATAGATTACACAAGCAAGATACATACATAGCTGTTTGAATGTCGAATCATCGTCAAGAAAGAAAAGGTTAAATCACGGCCACCCCACTGAGGTAAGATCAACCATCACACTCGGCTTCTCTTCCGGTGGTTGAAAAAAATATTTTAGTGCTGAGGAGGGGGGATTTATCAAGAAGGCTCGAAAATTACCAAAACACCCCTCATACTTGGGTAATTACGACCACCCCTCAACTATGAATCTTTTTATTCGTTCATTCTCGTGATATCAAATTTAGTGGAATCTTTTAGATTATATGGAATATTCTCCAGTTTGTACCCGTTTTATCCCATTCGAGCTCCATATTTGAAACAAGATGATCATAAGATGTGTTCCGTGGCTTGTAAAAATCAGATTGTGATGCATCAGAAACTTGCATTTTTGCACAAAACGAGTACAAACTGGAGAACATTCTACGGGATCTAAAAGATTCTGTTGTATATGACACCATAAGGGTGGACGTATAAGAAAATTCATAGTTGAGGGATCAAAAAAACAATTAAAATAAATTGAAGGACTGGGATGCAAATATGAATATCACCTAGCAACAGAAACAGTCCAAGGAGTGATAGGCTGATCTTCAGAAGCCCTATCCTCACCGTACACGTCCTCAACACCACCGCCACCGCCGCCGCCGTTGATTTCCGCCTTCAATTTAGCCTCCATATCTCCTCCACTCATCTTTCTCTCTCCTCTTTTGTACTGTTCCAACACTCCAAACCCTCGTCTCTGCCAATGAAACAAACTGAAACACAAAACACAAAGAATAGCACCCAAACAATATATTATATGTATATATATATATATATATATTTTAATTTTAATTGTCAAAATCTTTGACGAAAAAGGAACGAATGAGATTAATTATGTTTGATGTGAAGTTGAAAAAATGTTGTTGAAGAAATAAATAAAGTAAGAGGAAAATTAGGTTGTGAAAATGTACCAGGAAATTGACCCGTTTGAAAGGTAACATAATCAGAGGCGACGCGTTTGCAAATGGCGGTGTATATATGGGAATTGCAGTACGTAAGTTTCTCCCTTCTTCTAGAGAGAGAAACAGAGAGAGATATGAGAGAGAGAAAGTCGTTTAATGTGTGTATATTTTCAAGGCTTAATTTCACTTTGCACCATTGAAATATACTGTTTTATCATTTTGTACCCTCAAAATAAATTAACTGCATTTTTACACGATCAAAATACAATAAATCATGCATAATGCACCCTAAATGAATTTTTAAAAGTGATTTAATACTTTTAGTGGTATTTTTTAGGTTGCCAAATGTCAAATTGATTTTATTCATCTGAAACTATTAAGTGCTCAAATAAAAATGTATCGCATCAGTATATTAATAATTATATTTTTTTATAAAAATAAAATAAAAAAAATCGTTCAGCTATTTTGTTATTGTTATTTGAAAATAATATTTTTTCTTTCAAATATTTTCACCAATTACAATAAATAATCATCAATCGAATAACTTTAGTAATAAAAGTTTATTTTATTTGTTGTTGTTTTTTTTAATAATCTGGTGTTGACTTTATTTTTTTGCACTTTGTGTGCTCGAAATTAAGTTGGAGGTTGAATAAAATAATAATTTAATTTGTTAGTTTTCATCCCGGTTAAAATGGATATGAAATGCTGTGAATGATTTATTGTGTTTGAGGGTACAAAGTGATATTATTATTTTTCAAGGGTCCAAAATGCTAAAAGACTTCATTTCAAGGGTCTAAAGTGAAATGTAACCATATTTTCAAATGTTGACGTGTTCTTTTACTATTGTGTTCACTTTTATTTTCTATTGCAATTAATTTGACTAAAATCGTTAATTATATTTTTTTTTAAATCTTGACCAAAATACTTAAAATCGATATAAATTTGAAGTTATGTTTGTCAAGTTGGATTTTAGTATGAATACAGAATCAAAATACTATTATAATAATATGGTTGAAATCTAAATTTGGTAATATTTTATTTATTTATTATTTCCTCCTACTTTTTTTAGTTCCCATTTTGACCAACAACATTTTTCTTCATGCGAATGCGGCGTCCATACACCACATATTCCACCTACCACTCTCTCTTTCAAGAAAGTTATTGTAATTGAATACTGATTAATAAGTTACGTTACGTCAATTATTTATTAATTACTTTATTTCATTGAATTAAAGTTAAAACCTATTTATATAGTTGTACAATTGTTGGTTCGAAAATTGACATGGTAGATGTGCGTGCATATTAATTTGGTAGGGGCCTTTCAATAATTTTCGTGTCTACCTACCATTACGGTCCTATATATAAATTTATATTTAATTTTGTCCAATTTTGATTTTAGCAATGTCAATACGAAATATTAATATATTATAGGGCAAATTACAACCACTCCTGAGATAATGTTAAATTACGAAAAAATTCCTCTTGTTTGCATAATTATATTCACCCCACAGATATATACTGTCTTACGAAAAAACCCTTTCAGTTGATAAATTTAGAGGTGTTCATCGGTAAAATCGTATCGAAATTTCGGTACGCCAAATTTTCTACTGATTATCGTACGGTTCAGTAAATAACCGAATTATCAAAATTAATATTCGCCCTATATTTTACGTACACGGAAATTTGGAATTAATATGCAAAAGGTCTCCGAGAAATTCAAACGCGACGTAGATCACTTTCACATTTCGGGTCAATACAATTACATAAAGCCCAAGAGTTTGAACCAAATTAGTCAAGCCCAGATTGCCCAAAAGTTTGAACCAAATTTGTCAAGCCCAAAATACTTGATTTGAAATTTTAAGGCTGATAAAGTCAGACTAATATTCATTTTCTATGGAATAGTGAAATTCAATTAAAACTATTATGTTTTCAACTCTTCAACTCAAAATTGTGCCATGTTTTTTTTTTTTTTTTTTTTTTTTTATGAAAGCACCGGTGATGATGCTAGAGATAGATCACCTTAGGGAGTTGAAGTAGGATGAGCTGGAAGAGCAGAGTGGATCACTGGCTCACGAGCTTGATGACCTTGAGATACCTGCGATCTGAACTAGGCCGGGGGTTGATCCGGCGGAAACCCCTTCGACGCTCAAGTCATACATGCGGATAGTGGAAATAGTCCAGAGAATATATATTATAGTATTGCTCAGTTAATAGGACGTATCTTAAGGAATGAGTTCAAACATTTATTTATAGCTTAGTTGAGATTGTCGGGCCCAAACCTTACTTGAAGGTGATTGAGCCTCGGTGATAGTGATCTTAAATATTGAGTTCGTGACCCATTAAATAAAGAAATTGTAGGCCCATTGAGTTGGCCCAATTAAACATATGAACCGGATAATATCATTTATTTATTTGCATTTAAATCTCTATAATTTAATATAGTTAGGGACTTGAGATTATCAAAATTTTATTAATTTAACGAAATATTAAACTATTGAACTAATAGTTTAACACATTTTTATTGAATCTGCTCCGAGGAAAAAAATGTTTAGTATCACTTCTTCTAAGGCAAAAAGAGGAAGACAAATAAAATCATTATTAATTTATATATGTATAATTAGTACTTTGCCCCATGTGGTTTAAGCTTAATGCACATAACCCTCACACTTTTAAAAATTTCCTCTTCTTTAATGAGCATGATATTTACCAAATGAAATAGCACAATGGTGTTATATGCTTATATTAAAAGTACAAGAGGGTCATCTGCACAAAATTCAAACTACATGGAGGATATGCGCTTATATTAAAAGTACAAGGGAGTCACATGCAGAACGTTCAAAACACAGGGGGTTAAATGCAATTTACCCTTAATTTATTATATTATTATATTATTTTTGTTAAGTCCTAATTCCAAAAATAAACCCCCTTCTGTAACTTCATCTCTGCCGAAAACCTCGAAACCGTTTGTGCAGTCGCTAAAATGGCTACCCTTTGATCACTCACTCACGCGCTCACGCACAAACGCACTCTCTCACTCACACAGAGTCGAATTTCTCAGCAGATAGAAAAACTGAGAAAAATCGATGAATCTCCGGCCAAGAGAAAGGCAACCATTTTCCGGGTTCACAAAAGCCGAGGTTTCATTTCCATTATTTTTTATTTTAATTTTTTAATAATAATAATTAATTAATTTGTTGGCTGCTCATTTTGTAATTTTAATTTTAATTTTTGGTTCTTTGGGTATCATTCAGCTTTTATTTTTTCGTGGGTGTTTGATAAATTGCATGGTCACTCGAATTGTTATGAACTGTTGTTTTCACTGGTTATATATACATACATATTAAATTAATACAGTCGGGAACATAGAAATTCTATTAATTTAGCTAAATATTAAATTATCGAGATAATAATTTAACATGTTCTCACCAAATTGGGATCGGAATAAATTATTATTTAAACTATGTTATTAATTTATCGAGGTTCTACCGTATATATAATATATATGGTGAATATTCGTATTAGCAGTGATATTTGAGAGCCCGTTTGCGGTTTGTTGTTTTCGAATTGCTAGAAAATGCTTTCGATTGAGGAAATGTTTGGTGTGAATTATGATGTTTATGAAATTCGATGAGAATTGTTTGTTATAGCTAGAAAATAATTTGATTTTACGCTTTGTGGTTTGTTTCGTTTGCGAAATATAATGTTACTATTATTGAATAAATTTCGTTTTGCTATTGGCGAGTGAGTCTTGATTTTGAAATTGGGTTTAGCTTTTAATTCTCTTTAGATTTCGGTTGATGTTGTTTTGTATATACTCGATAAACGAGATTAATAGTTAAAATAAGGTGTCAAGCTAATTTTATACGAGAATCTCATATAATGCGATCGATTAAGCAGGTTCGAAAAATGGAGAAATTACTTAACGAGTCTAAAGAACAATCTCTGGACGAGGATTTCTTTAAGATTTTGGCACGAATTTTCAAGTGAGTGTTTTCTGTATGCAGTAACTATCAAGTGCTTGCTTAAAGATTGAACTACATTGTTTGAGGGGTAACTTCGTAATTTTGGTTGCAGCCGTTCCAGTAATCGAGCGGGAAAACCTCTTTTGAAATGGACCGAGGTTTTATCTTCTACTTGTTCTATATATATATATATATATATATATATATATATATATATATATATATATATATATATACATATATCAACATCAATTAGGCGTGAAGCGCGTATCTGTTATTGGATA